GAGATTTGTAGAAGAGGTCCTTTGGGTTTCCTTTTCCGACCGCGATTCGCCGCAGCGGGGACGCCGCCGCAGGCATAGTGATGTCGGTGACTTTGCCAATGGGAAAGCACAACATGAAGGCCGGTGCCGCGGGCCCAGATTTGGGCCCTTTTTGGGCAGGGCTCCTTAAAAGATACCAATTTTGTAACCATTTGCAACATGTTGCTTTTTCAACACCAAAATAAAAGGAAACCGCAATCTTGCGTCCAACAAGGGGTAAAGTCTTGAACCCCCCCCCCAAACAGCTACGGGGTCCACCCGGCCATTTCGGGAAGAAACCGCCTGGGGTTCCCTGCACTTGGTTGCTAGAACTTGGCTTGGGCGATGCTGTCGAAGTTGGATCCGGATGAACCTGGTGGAAGGGATCCCGTCCAAGCATCTGCCGATCAAGATACCCTCCCCCAAACATGGAAGCTCCCACCCCGATGGAAGACTTGCTTCCATTTACAGATCCTGGGAGCTTCCAGTCTGAAGGAGTTGGTTGATTCGTCCGCCTGGGCTCTCACGGAGCATGGAGTAGGTGCGAAAAGGCTGCAGATGGGCGATAATTCAAGCGAAGCTGGGGTTGTGTCGACCACTGCCCTCTCTGCAATACAGGAAGGTAAGACAGCTTCCCAAGAGTCTCTTGGGAGGCCTGTCGATGTACATGTCGGAAGATGGGGTGAGCATCATTGGTCTTGGGTGTTAGTCCATGTTTCTCATCAAACAAAACCTCTGTGTCCGCTTCCATGTAACGAGGGTGGTGTTCAAGCGTTGAGATGGCCGAGGAGAAGCTCTTGGCAGCGGATGACACGAGAGCCAGGTGTCTCTCAGTTTCTTTAAAGCCCTGGTTGGCTTAGGATAGGCCATCATTCTACGCTCGGGTTCCTTTGCTTGGGCCTTTACACGCCAGCATCCAAAAAGGGGGGGTCCATGACTCGTGTTTGATTCCAAAGGTGCATGCTTTCCATTGGGCTTGGGACTTCTCCGGGCCCAGTTTCTTGGGGCTGTGAGGACTGCGCCGCCTTTGCGGCGGATGCCCAGACGGCAGAGGCCGCGTTCCTGGCGCTGCTCGGGACAGAAGGGGAGTCTGGGAGTCCAAATCCGTGGGTTTCGCTGTGGCCAAAATGCTGCGTTTCCAGTTTGGCTTCCCGGCCTTTCCATGATTTCCCGGTTTTCGCTTTGGTTTCCCCAGCCAAGCAAAAAATGGTTCAAAAAAGAGACACCCACGAGTGGCTCAGACCGCGGTTTGCGAAATAGCCCCTTGGCTCATTTCTTTCGCGCTGATGTTTTTTTGAAATCGAAGCCACTGATGGTTAGTGAAGGGGCACTCGATAATTTCCAGGTTGCGGTTTGGAAAGGGGACTTTCGGTTTGTTTTTGATTGTTTTTTTGGCGGACATAAGCTGACAGCTATGTTGGTTCCTCGTCTTTTAAAGATTGGACCCCTCAAGCTGGATTTCAGTGTTCTTTTGGGCTTTCCTTTAAAAACCCACCAAAGGGGAAGCCTCAAAAACCAACCCCACCCCATGTCGAGCAGCGGCCAAGGCACTCGGGAGGCGTTTGCCGGCTCTTCAAAGCGGGGGAATGGAAGGTGGAGACGGTGCTGGAGATGAAAGGCATCACTGGCTTGACCCATCTGCGGCCCGGCGCAACTTGCATTCCCAGACGTTGGTTCAGACTCAAGCTGAGTTTGGCGTGGTTTTTCTACTTTGTCAAAGTAGGGATTTGGGGTAGAGTGTATCTTTGAGGCTCCTAAGCCAATATTCGGGTCCGTCTTTTGTTGAGTTGGCGAAATCCATTTTTTGAGGGTCCAAATCCAAAGAAGAAAGATACCTAAACAACTGTTTTCACCAGTGAATGAGTTCCTGAACCCTGGCCAGGGACACCGAAGTCTTACGTCAAGGGGCCGGTCCGGCGGCCTGATCAAACGCATGACAAAGTTGCACGCAGTTCCCGGGCAAACCAGACAAAACTTGGTGGCTCCCAGCCATCCGGTTCCTTAGCTTTTTAGCCTTTGAGTGTTTAGTGGTAGTTGTTCATTTATCCCAGAAAGTTAAACTTTTAGCGGGGATCTGAGGCAGCCCAGAGAATTGAGGAAAGTTTTAGGAAGCAGAACGGAACAATTAGTGAAACTTAAGGACGACTAGGAAACAACACACTGAACATGAGGGGAAGATACCATGGTTGCGCTCCCTCCTTGTTGCTCCAGATGGCCACATGATTACGGCCTGGCGAGAGAATTTGGCAGGTGGGGCGCAGATGATCTGCACGGCTTCGTGCTGAGCCGCAAAGACTATCGCCTCAGCTTCTGGGCGGCGCGGCGACTTCAGTGGGGGCGGGGTGGGATGTTTTCATCGTGTGAGTCAGAGCCAACTCGCATGGGAGGCCGATGCATAGTGGCTACTAGGCTGTTAGTGACTCGTCACCAACAGCGACTAGGGGCTCTTGAGGGACCATCAAGAACCATACCCCTCCCTTGTACATTGGCCTTCTGGCTTCCATTGGCGTGGGCTGTTGTTGCGTGTTTCCCTGTTGCAAATCCAGATGACTGGTGCATGTGGGTGTTTCCAGCCGCCTATCCAAAGGTGAGGGGTGAGGGGTTTCCTCGAGGTTTCTGTTCTCTTGGGAAATGATTGATTCCCCATTTTCCAGTTCAAACATGTCACCTTTTGCGGGTCAAACAAAGACCAACCCAGACAGAAGGGCTTTACCAAACATTTTTCTTGGGTAGCTTAGGGGCTGCCCTTTGCTGGCCAAGTGGGTTTGTCTTGTTTTTTGGGACCCCCCAAAAATGAAGTTCGGGCTTTCTTGGGCTTTCTTTTGGTTTTCCCTTTATGTATCACCACCAAAAAAAAGAGGCACCAACTCAAGAAGCGAAAAACCGACCCCAAGCACCACCAAAAAAAGGAGCACCAATTTAAAGCAAAAAAAAGCCGCCCCCAAAACAAAGGCGGCTGGGAGCTTTCAATTTCCCTCAGCCGGTTTCCGAGTCAACAAATTTCCCGAGGACGCAGCGAAAGGAGGCGCTGCGAACATGGCGGGCCAGGTCATGAGCCGCGGGGCTGTGGATGGCATGGGCACCGAGGCGCGGCGGGCGAACCGCGGGCGAACCGCCGGAGGCCTCGACAAGAGGACATCGGGACATCCGCCTGGTTTTTGTTGGGTTCCAACCCCTTAAAAACAACACCACAAGCCCAATGTTTATCCTTGGAACCAAGAGTAACTTAATGGGAAAACCTCAAAACCCATCTTCTTTGTTTTTTTTTTGGGGGGGGGCAATCTGCTTTGGCCGCTTCCGAGTTTATCCCTTCCCTTACATTTTCCTTCCTGTTTGAACATCCCCAAAAGGTAGGGTTACCTCGGGCCACTCTCAGTCGGGACTAGGAAAGCTTGGGGAGCCCCGGAGCGGATTTCGCGGAGCGCGGAAAAACCGCTTGGCCTCTTCATGGTTGTTCTTGGGAAAGATTTGAACCATTTTTGCTTGCTGTGGTTTAGTGGTTGAGATCCAGCCACTTAACTGCTAAGATTTACATTTTTGATCCCCTAACCCAACGTCAACCAAGTCTTGGTGAAAGCTCCCTTCAACCGGCCTGGGCGTAAGTGGTCGTCTTGGTGCGGCTTTTTGGCCCTTCTGGGCGCCAGGCGCGCTTCAGCGCGCCCGGGCAGCAGCTGGTGCTAGGCCTGGGGTAGCTGCCGGATGCCGAGGGAGCTTTGGAAAAGGAACGAGTCACCGCCCTTTCAAAAAGGGCCTGGTTTGAATTGGTGGCAGGCTTTGAACCTCCAGTTCTTGTACAGCTTAAAGGGGCAGGGTACATAGGTGTCCTGTTTGGGTGAGCCAGGTTAAACATAGAAGGCGCTGGTTTAGATGGGTGTCCATTTACCAGGGCCATTTTTCCAAAAGGCCACCTATGGCAGAGTACTTAGTAAGTGGTTCGTAAGCCTGGTTATAACCCACTGAACGGAGACTTAAGATTATTCCTAGTAGAGCCGGCGCAGCCGATGGGCGGAAGTTTCAAACGATATAAGTCTATAGTTCTTTGCGTCTTCCCATTGCTCTTACATGTTGGAGGCAAACAAAGCGATGCAGCAACGCGTCCCTGTCCACGAGCCTTGGTTCAGAGTCTGCCCAAAAGTCAAAACTCGTTTTGGCTCCAACCGACCCGGTTTGTCAAAGCAAACAAGTCCAATCGTCTCAGCGTCATTGCTGGCCAACTCCGACTCGCTCACTCCAGCCCCGCCCTGTCCCGATTGCCTTTTATGTCACGCAGACACCATGCTGTCAGTAGCGCTGCACCGCAGGGCGCTGACGGCCTGAAGCGGCACGCAGTCGGACGACACCAGAGTTGCCGGCTGAAGCCCCCAGCGCTTGCAAGAACCGCGCACTGCAGCTAGGCCACGATACAGCGGCGCAGGCGCACGATGCAGCCACAGGGCTGCCTGATGCGCGGCCTGCGGCACGCGGTGCATCTCGCAATCTCAAGATGCCCAGCTCGGCGAGTTCGTGGTTTGCTTTATCTTAGCTACCATAGACAGCGGAGTCGTGGCGAAAACGTCATCCCCGAAACGCTTTGTGGCTGGTGCAGACGGCCCCAGCGAAGGCAGTTGCAGCTGGCGCCTTGCCTGAAAGGCTGCAACGTCCGGCTCTAGCTTTGCCTGTGCGCGCGCTGCAGCTGTTGCAACTCCACTTTATGCGTGTGCAAGTAAAGCATCGAACCTCTCCTGACTCGCCATGGCACTGTGCGGCCAAGCCACGCATCTGAAGTGAGCTACAGGTGACGCTAACCTCTCTGCAACAAACAATCTGGACGCTGTGGCTTTTTGCTGCTTGTGTGTGGAGTGGCTGGTTCTGTGGGGTTTGTGTGCACATGTGACATGCATAAACGTGCGTGCCCCGCTGAGAGGCACAACAAAGCATCGTTGTGTCATGCTTGTGCTGGTGCGCTGAGGAATTTTAAAGACTGATGCGCTGATCAAAAGACATGAAACGCTGAGTTGCTAGTTTTGTACGGTTGGATGGTGCTGGGAGTGTGTGTGCCGTGTACCCAAGTCACGGATGCATGCAAATGCAACCGAAACGCGCATGCAAAACTCATGAAGCGCAAACCCGCATGAAGTGCTCTATCTTTCTGCCAACTTGGCTACCTATCTAGCTATTGATCTATCTATCTATCTATCTATCTATCGATCTATCGATCTATCTATCTATGTATCTATCTAGCTAATCAATCCTTCTATCTGGCTGTCCATTTGTCTTTCTTGCTATCTGTCTATCCGGTATCTGTCTGTCTGTCTATCTATACGTCTGTCTCTGGCTATTTATCTATGTCTCTCTATCTATCTACTTCTCTACATATCTAGTTTTCTGTGTACTCTATCTATTGGTGTCTTTCTTTCTCTATTTCTTTCAATCAATCTATCTATCTATCTATCTATCTTTCTATCTATCTGTCTATCTATCTATGTCTCTTCCTTGATCTAGTTCTCTCTCTCTCTCTCTTTCTCTCTTTCTCTGTCTCTCTCTCTCTCCTTCTCTCTCGTTTTCTTTCTTGCTCTCTCTCTCTCTCTCGCTCCCTCTCTCTCTTTCTTTATCCATCTATCTACCTATCTATCTGTTTATCTATCTGTCTGTGTATCTATCTACCCAGCTATCTATCTATCGATTTGTCTATCTATCAACATATCTATCTATCTTTTCTTGCTTTCGATCTGTCTATCTTTCTATCCATCCATCTGTCTTTCTATCTATCGATCTATCTATTTATCTATCTCGTTCTTTCTTTCTTTCTTTCTTTCTTTCTTTCTTTTTTTTGTGTGTTTCTTTCCATCGACCTTGCGAAAGTGCGGCGACTGCGGTGATATCTGTACGTGACCTTGCGAAAATATCGTGCCTGCCACGAAATCTGTACCTGGCCTTGTGAAAGTGCTGCGTCTGCCACGAAATCTGCACACGCCACCTTGCGCGTTTGTGCCAATGCAATGTGCGACGCGTCCGTGCCAGCGTTGCGAAAATGCCGCTCCTCCTACTTGACTCTGCAAAAGTGCTTCGCCTGCCACGACACCTTCACCTTGGCTTGCCAAAGTGCTGCGCCTGTCACGCAAAACTGACATTTCAACAAGTGCCCGCGTCCGTGCCAATGGGCCCGGGTCCGGCCCCGTTCCGACCCCGTTCCGAGTCCCGAGACCGTCCCAACCCCGTCGTCCGTCAGACATTGCGACAGAGGTAGCTTTCAGCTCGCCGCACGCAGGCTTTCTCGCATGCATTCAGTCTTTCTTAGTCGCATCTTCGCGCAAGACTACCTTTCAACCAGTGTCCGTAACACGGAAGTTCCTTCTAAACTTCCTTTGCTAACCATGAAAAGTGGGTTACAGCCATGGTTGGTTTGGATTAGTGCCTTGAGGACTTGAACCTCCAGTTCTTGTGCTTCACGCACGCACGCACGCACGCCCGCCAGCCCGCCCGCCCGCCCGCCCGCGCGCGCACACGCACGCACGCACGCATGCACGCACGCCACGGGTCAAGCAAACATCGAGTCTGATTCTGAAGCTCTGCGTTTGCCAGGGGACGGCTCCTTGCTGGTGGCGGACGGGCGCGCAGTGCGGCGCCTGGAGACACTGGCGATGAGGCGGGTCCACCGGGTTGTTTCCTCAGCAGGGGAACTCCCAAATGGGATGTTTCTTATACTTCATATCTACATATGCACACTTTTTTGACAAATATAGATATAGTGTCAACATTGAAGAGAGGTTTTCTCAGAACCCAGGTCGACTTTGCGTCAGCATTTTGTTTTTGGGATGTGGAAAGCGGCTTATAGCAAGAACTAAGACAGTAACATGAAGCTGAGATTTGACCCGGTGAAGCTGCGTTTGGTTTTTGTTCTGCTGGAGATGACCGGGCCAGAAGTGACAGAGAGACTCATCCATAGTTTACGTTCTACGATCTTTAGCTTCAAAAGCAGGCCACAAGCATAACCACACAGGCTAGCTTCATTCTTGGGAACAGTTTGCGGGTTTCCACTTGTTAACATTACATTTGGGGACCCAAACAGTGTCATTTGCGCCAAAGTGAAAGAATTTCGATAAGTTGTCTGTTGCCATGTCCTGGTTGACATCTCCGAATGAACGTGCGACTTCTGCACCAGTTGGTTGGGTAGGTATCTGATTGTTAGTCGCAAGGTTTCGACTTCAGCCCAGGAGATAGTTGCCCAAGATGGGCACATCCACCAGCTGGATTGCACGATTTCTACCAGGGTCAAAACAAAAAGACACGATCAATTTTGTTCTTGTTTTTTCCCCCCAAGCCTTCCCTACAAGATCCCTCGCTCGCTGTGCCTTCTGCCTTTCCGCCGGGCAGGCAGACAGAGTTCGAGCGGGCGGCCATGGGCCTGGAGCGTGCCACGCAGCTGGCGGCCCAGCGCGCGGAGCATCTGAAGGTGGCCTGGGACGAGGCGCGAGCGAGTGGGTTTGGGGGTGGGTGATGCTTGTTTGCCCGAAAGACCAAAGGCCACAAAGGCAGGGGTGTGTCTCAAAATAGGGGGGCTGAAATAGGGGTGGTGATGGGTTTGGCTTAGCAGAGGCACCAAATCCGTAAAATCTCCAGCAGGAACATGTCTGAAAGTAGGGGGGCCTCACAAAGTTGGCGGGGGTTCCTTTTGGTTTCCGTTGAAACCAACCTGAACGGGGCGCCCCCGAAAAAAGACGCACCCACTTGGTGGTTTATTGTTGGCGGTTTGCGGCAATCGTTGAATCGGGATGATCAGCTCGCGATGCTTGGGTGGCCAAAAGGAACCCCGGGGAAAAAGAAGAAGAAGAAGGAAAATCAAACAGGGTTCATGGGTTTGTTTTGTGGCGTACTAGGTTTCAAGGGAAAAGTAGCCCCGAAAGAGGGAATTTTCATGAATTTTCAACAATGTCCACGAGTGGATTCAACACATGAGGGGGTCACACGCCAATGGAGGGTGAATGGTAATGTTGACCCCGGATCAAGAAGCCTGTTCGACTACCTGGGGGGGGTGGTAAACCCCTCACTAAAAGGGGACACCACCCTATTAATCAACCAGTTCCCATTACTCCCTGGTTCAGGGATTGGGGAGACAGCTTAGAACCAAAAGTCAAAGGGGCTTTGGCGCCCTCTTGGGTATAAAACGCGAAGGGATAGGTGCAGCATCGAGATCATGGGATTGGGAGGCCAGTGTTGAACAGTGATAGATACGGCCAGGAGGACGGGGGATGCCAATAATAGTAAGTCACATTGTGGCTTTCAAAGTATTGATTGAAACATGTTTGAGGCATGCGAACACCTCTACCGCGGAATAATTGTCGTTGAGGCGCTGCGAGCCTGGTGCCAAGTTCCTCGGGTGGTTTAGGGTGATGTTTGAGGGGGACGTCAAGGCTTGAATCCCCGAAAACTATGACTTAAGTCCAGGAATCAGTTCGAAACCCCTTGCGGAAGATCCGTAGCCTTGGAACTCTGGGTGCAATCAGTTCCCATCCGTTTTGGCGCTCCGATCTCTGGGTAGCGCCAGTCGGTACGAAGGGACCGCGCCAGTCGCAGGCCTTGGAGCTGCTCGCGGGGCCGCTCACTGAGACCTGTGCTGCGAGGCGGCTACGGCGGCGGTTCGTTGCCATGTATCCGAAACCCAATCCCTAGGCGCTGCCTTGGCCAATTGGGTGAACATGGCTTTGGTTTATACTGGCACCAACCTGGTTGTTGTTGGGAAACACTTTACTTCTTTGCCTATAGCGTGGTTTAGAGGTTGAACTCCAACCACTTAGCTGCTACATTTTTGTTTTAAACGTTTTTGCTCCCCTCCCAACGTGAACCAAGATCAGAGGGGGTCGTTTTTGCCGGCTTTTGCGTGGAACCATGATCGACCCCCTGGTAGTGACGGAGTCCTTGTTGAGGGGTCGCCCATTTTCTCGCAAAAGGTCGCAAAAGGACGCCCTCCGGGTATGTTGGCTATGAATTTTCAGGGAGAAAACTTCCCCACAGGGTTGGTGCTGATGTGTTGTACGGGAAACCACAACAGGTCCAATGACCTATTGCTTGGTGGGGCTTGGAGCAACCTGGCAAATGCCGTCCAGAGCGTCCCACCCAGGTCAACGCCAACTTTCCGTAACATTCCAGCCAAAGAGGGGACATTTTCTGGCAACCTAGCTGGGAGCCCGGGGTTTGTACCAGGAAACCATGCCAACCACACAGATTTTTTTTTGGTGCCCGGAAAAACACCAAGCTCACGATGAACGCTTGCAGCGGCCTATCACGGTACCTCAAAAGAGATCGTTCCCTGCCAATGCTGGCTGTTCTTGGTTTGCATAACAACTCTAATTCTTTTCTCACCAGGAGGTGACCGCTTTCCAGAATCCGCACGGATCCTCCTGGGCATATCCTGATTTAGCAGATTCCTCTGTGCAAGTGGCGGATGCTGGGCTCTGGCCATCCCTTGGACCGAGCAAACCTGACAATCGTGGTTGCCCGTTTGTCAGGGTTTCCGAGCCATTTCCCTTTTGGGAACCTCCAAAAGTGGCGGTTTCAAGGGACACCGCCAGTAAATTGCAACTTTTGAAGGGGACATCCAGCGACTGTTTGTTTTAGTCCTGCGTCTCCTTCTTTTGGTTCGGCAATACTGAAAAATCGCAAATCGGGTATCATAAGGGTTCCGAGCATTCCGACGGCTTGCGTATCGACTCACTCAGTTTTCTATGTTCTCTTGGCCCCTGATTGGTATGGTCCTCCTCATTCCGACTTAGACTTTAGACCCGCCCAGCAAAACATTGTCAAAGTGAACAATGAGGCCAGATTCGTCTCATGAAAAAAGAGCAGCCAGATGTCCATGGAACCAGTTCTTGACAGGGAAGCCCTATAGGCAATACCTAGTTCTTTCGTGACCGTAAATGCCTCCTTTTTGAGTAAGGGATTGACATGGGTATGGGTCAACATAAACCCACCAGGAATTGGACCGCAGGTTTTAGTCTTTCCATTCATCAGGGCAAGCCATTTTGGGTCACATGATGTGGCATTATTGTATGTGGCATTTTAGTATGGTTTTCAGTTTATGTATGTGGCATTTTGGACCCACAGCCACATGATGCCCTGAAAAAAAGCCGCGGGGTCTTTCGCATTAGACGGCGCCTGGAAGAGGCACCGTCTCTGCGAGCGGAACCACGCCGCGGAGCTGGGGCGCTGCGAGGAGGCGGCGTTTTTTCTTTTCTTTCTTTTATTCTTTTTTTTTTTGGGGGGGGGGTTGCCAACTATTCTCTGACTGAGTTTGAGTTTTTTTTTTTTGTCGGGGTTCAGACGGTTGCCACCCTTCAATGGTTGGGTTGATTACTCATTGTTTACCGTTCAGGATTTGTCATCTAAAACTAATTTGATTTGGTTGTTTTGGTTGAAAATAGAAGGCGATTCCTGGTTCTCCTGGTGGTTCAATCATCTAGGGCTATCTGTTTTCCAGAAAAGACATCTATGGGTTTTAGGGTTGCCCTCCGGTCCTGTCCTTGCTAGGGAACCCACACTTTTCAGGAAAGTCTTCCAGCCCGAAACGTCAGGTTCCACGAGAGACGGGATGTTATCATCAGGTAATGTTGACGGATTAATAAACCTGTACCATTAGGGGGGTGAAAACCCCTCCAAAAGTGGTCTGAATCCAACCACTAAAATGGGACAGCTTTCGATCAAAATCAAGCAGGGGTTCTGCTTCCGGGGTCAGGTACCCCAGACCTTGGTGCTTCTCAGGCGCCGCTGGCGCTGGTGCTGGCGGCGCCCAGCGTGGCAGCGCTGGAGCCGGCGCTGCAGAGGCTGCCGCGGACGCGGCGGTTCTCCGCGGAGGTGGCGAAGGCCCCTGAGAGGTTTCGGTCACGCCGGCCGGGTTTTGGCCGAGGCAGGACGGGACATCGAGCTTCCATCGGTCTTTGGCAAAAAACCGGATCCGTTTTCTCTGGGATTCCGGAGGTTTTCTAGAAAGAAGGATCCCTGGAAAGAATGGGAAAGAATGGGAAGGTACCCCTAGAAGAAGGGAAATCGAGCTTCTATCTGAGCTTTTCGGGTTTTCCTAGTCTTAGGGGCGCCTGGGGCGGCAATAGAATTCATGTCTTACCCCTTTCCTCAAAGGTTCTTCCCTTTGGTTTCCTAAGGGCCAATTTCAACTTTCCCGCAACTGGGGCTGGCTTCCTCACCTATCTAGCTCCACAGGGCCTCTTTTGGCCCGACACACCGGGAGCTTCTAAGGTTCTAAGAAACCCTTTTGGGCGAAAAGGAGCGCCCGACCTGTTTTCCCTAAAGCTGCTTCGATCCCGCAAGCAGGGGTCGTGTCATTTTGCTCAAAATGGGTGCCGTCTTTCCTAGTGGACCCGGCACCAACATGGTTGTTGTTGGGAACCATTTTACATTTTTTGCTTATTGTGGTTTAGTGGTTGAAATCCAGCCACTTAACTGCTAAGAAATAAAACTTTGCTCCCCTTCCAACGTCAACCAAGCCAAAAGTTGGGGTCTGAATCCCATGAAGGCAACGTCCCGACTTCTGGTCAGGCGCTGCAAACGAAGCTCGCCAACTACTTCTGGCCGCCCAGCAGGCAGCGCCTTGGATGAGAAGTACCGGTGGCCGGCTCCGCAGGGTGCATGGGTTGCAACGGCCGACAGATCTGCAACGCGATTCGGGTGTTTGTTTTTGAGTGGGTGCTTCCATTTGCTGAAGACTTGTTTTCTATTATTTTCCCTTGTTGGTTTGAAAGACATTTATCCCTACTGGGCATTTTATTTTTTGTTTTTCCAGGGGTCTTGACCAAATGGAAGGGTACCCTTTTTGGGTGGCTCTGAAAGGAAACCACCAGTTTGGGGGGGGACTCATGTAGGGTAGCACTCAAAAATAAGGAGTTACTCACCAGTTTCTCACGTCAAAGAGGGGCCTCGATGATCGTCGCTCACATGGAGCTTGCTATTTTCATCCAGGTGCTTTTCCTTATGACCCTGGCAAGGAGCTGCCCATTTGGGAGATTTGTGCTAGTCTCTGCCATATTCTGGGCTTAACTCCAAACTGGATTTCGCAAGTTGCAGCTTGCCTCAAACAACCAACCCCCCAACCCCCCAACCAACCAACCAACCAACCAACCAGCCAACCAGCCAGCCAGCCAGCCAGCCAGCCAACCAACCAACAAACCAACCAACTTCACCCAACCAACCAACTTCACCCAACCAACCAACTTCACCCAACCAACTTCACCCAACCAACTTCACCCAACCAACTTCACCCAACCAACTTCACCCAACCAACTTCACCCAACCAACTTCACCCAACCAACTTCACCCAACCAACTTCACCCAACCCCACCCAACCCAACCCCACCCCACCCAACCCCAACCCAACCCAACCCAACCCAATTCAACCCAACCCAACCCAACCCAATTCAACCCAACCCAACCCAACCCAACCCAACCCAACCCACCCCAGCCCTACCCCACCCAACCCAACCCAACCTAACCCCACCCCACCCCACCCCAACCCACCCCACCCCACCCCACGCCACGCCACGCCACGCCACCCCACCCCACCCCACCCCACCCCACGCCACGCCACGCCACGCCACCCCACCCCACCCCACCCCACCCCACCCCACCCCACCCCACCGAAGCCACCCCAACCCACCCCAACCCAACCCAACCCAACCCAACCCAACCCAACCCAACCCACCCCAGCCACCCCACCCAACCCCAACCACCCCACCCCACCCCACCCCACCCAACCCCACCCAACCGCCCCACCCCACCCACCCAACCCCACCCCACCCCACCCCACCCCACCCAACCCAACCCAACCCACTTCAATTCAATTCAACCCAACCCACCCCAACCCAACCCAACCCAACCCAACCCACCCCAACCCAACCCAACTCAACCCAACCCCACCCAACCCCACCCAACCCCACCCAACCCCACACCCAACCCAACCCAATTGAATTCAATTCAACCCAACCCAATTCAATTCAATTCAACCCAACCCAACCCATTTCAATTGAATTCAACCCAACCCAACCCAACCCAATTCAATTCAATTCAATTCAACCCAACCCAATTCAATTCAATTCAACCCAACCCAACCCAACCCAATTCAATTCAATTCAACCCAACCCAACCCAATTCAATTCAAATCAACCCAACTTAACCCAACCCAACCCAATTCAATGCAATTCAACCCAACCCAGCCCAACCCAATTCAATTCAAGTCAACCCAACCCAACCCAATTCAATTCAACCCAACCCCACCCAACCCAATTCAATTCAATTCAACCCAACCCCAACCCAATTCAATTCAAGTCAACCCAACCCAACCCAATTCAATTCAACCCAACCCCACCCAACCCAATTCAATTCAATTCAACCCAACCCAATTCAATTCAACCCAACCCAACCCAACCCAATTCAATTGATACCCAACCCAACCCAACCCAATTCAATTCAATTCAACCCAACCCAACCCAACCCAACCCAATTCAACCCAACCCAACCCAACCCAATTCAATTCAATTCAACCCAACCTCAACCCAATTCAATTCAATTCAATCCAACCCAACCCAACCCAATTCAATTCAATTCAACCCAACCCAACTCAACCCAATTGATACCCAACCCAACCCAACCCAACCCAACCCAATTCAATTCAACCCAACCCAACCCAACTCAGCCCAATTCAGCAACCCAACTCAACCAATTGATACCAAACCAGCAACCCAAATTCAATTCAATTCAACCCAACCCAACTCAGCCCAATTCAGCCCAGCCCAACTCGGCGGTGATACCTTCAGCGTTCAATTCGATTCAATTCTTCAGCCCAACTCGGCCAATTCAACTTTTAGCTACAACTCTGGCAGTTAATTGACAACCCAAGCAGCCAATTCGATTCCAATTCAACCCAACCCAACCCAACTCAGCCCAATTCAAGCCTTTTTTAACTAATTGATACCCAACCCAACCCAACCCAATTCAATTCAATTCAGCCAACCCAAACATTCCCCAATTCAAGCAACCCAACATCACTCAAACCAATTGATACCCAACCCCAAACCCAGCCAACCCAATTCAAACCAATTCAACCCAACCCAACCCAACTCGGCCAATTCAACCCAACTCCAACCCAGTTGATACCCAACCCAACCAACCAGCCCAATTCCATTCAATTCAGCAACCCAACCCAACTCCAGCCCAATTCAGCAACCCAACTCAACCCAATTGATACTGGCTTAACCAATTCAATTCAACCCAGCCAACCCAACTCAAACCCAATTCAACCCCACCAACACGCCCCACCCCACCACCCAACCCCACACATCCCCCCCCAATATTGTTCAATTCAATTCAGCCTTCACCCCAACCAGCAGCACACCACCCCAACCCAACCCAACACAACCAACCACAACCCCATAGCCCCACCCAACCCACCATGGCAATTGAATTCAATTCAACCCAACTCAATAATGACCAACCAACCCATTCCAATTGAATTCAATCAACCCAACCCAGCAATTCAGATTCAATTCAACCCAACCAAAAAACCAACTCAACCCAATTGATACAGCAACCCAACCCAACCCAACCCAATTCAATTCTTAACCCAACCAACTCGGCCCAATTCTTCAACAATAAACCAATTGATACAGCAGCAGCAGCAATTGAATTCAATCCAACCCAACCCAACCCAATTCAATTCAATTCAACCCAACCCAACTCAACCCAATTGATACCCAACCCAACCCAACCCAACCCAACCCAATTCAATTCAACCCAACCCAACCCAACTCAGCCCAATTCAACCCAACCCAACTCAACCCAATTGATACCCAACCCAACCCAACCCAACCCAATTGAATTCAACCCAACCCAACCCAACTCAGCCCAATTCAACCCAACCCAACTCAACCCAATTGATACCCAACCCAACCCAACCCAACCCAATTCAATTCAACCCAACCCAACCCAACCCAACTCAGCCCAATTCAACCCAACCCAACTCAACCCAATTGATACCCAACCCAACCCAACCCAACCCAATTCAATTCAATTCAACCCAACCCAACTCAGCCCAATTCAACCCAACCCAACTCAACCCAATTGATACCCAATAGCCAACCCAACCCAATTCAATTCAATTCAACCCAACCCAACTCAGCCCAATTCAACCCAACCCAACTCAACTAATTGATACCCCAACACGCCCAACCCAACCCAGCAACCCAATTCAATTCAACCAACTCAGCATGCCAGCCAACCCAACTCAGCAATTGATACCAACCCAATTCAATTCAATTCAACCCAACCCAACTCTCAATTCAACCCAACCCAACTCAACCCAATTGATACCCAGCAACCCAACCCAACCCAACCCAATTCAATTCAATTCCCAACCCAACCCAACTCAGCCCAATTCAAGCCCAATTGATCAACCCAACCCAACCCAACTCAGCCCAATTCAACCCAACCCAACTCAACCCAATTGATACCCAACCCAACCCAACCCAACTCAATTCAATTCAACCCAACCCAACTCAGCCCAATTCAACCCAACCCAACTCAACCCAATTGATACCCAACCCAACCCAACCCAATTCAATTCAATTCAACCCAACCCAACTCAGCCCAATTCAACCCAACCCAACTCAACCCAATTGATACCCAACAATTCAATTCAATTCAACCCAACCCAACCCAACTCAGCCCAATTCAACCCAACCCAACTCAACCCAATTGATACCCAACCCAACCCAACCCAACCCAATTCAATTCAATTCAACCCAACCCAACTCAGCCCAACCCAGCCCAACCCAACTCAACCCAATTGATACCCAACCCAACCCAACCCAACCCAACCCAATTCAATTCAATTCAACCCAACCCAACTCAGCCCAATTCAACCCAACCCAACTCAACCCAATTGATACCCAACCCAACCCAACCCAACCCAATTCAATTCAATTCAACCCAACCCAACTCAGCCCAACCCAGCCCAACCCAACTCAACCCAATTGATACCCAACCCAACCATCTTTTTTTTTTCAAGCCTGAAAAGGCCCAGCCAGGGCCAGCCCGCTCTCCCAGAGGCCGGCAGGCGCTGGGTTTCTGCAGGCTGACCTGGAGGCTTTGCAGCGCATGGTGGCAGGCGAACGAAGCCGCGGAGATTTGGTCCCAGGGTTTCGGGTTCCCTTGAAACGAACAGGAACGGGGAACGGGGCGCTCTCCGAAAGAATGAAAAAATAAAAAGACAACACACAAAAGACACGTGAAACTGCAGGTTTCATGTTTTTTGTTTTCCGGTTCCCCTCAAAAAACCAAGAGAAGGCTCATACGCGCGAATTGACAAGATCCAGTTGGTGCGGTTGGGTGAAAGATGACGCGACTTCCTTTGGCTTAGTCACTCCTTGAGGTACCCAGAGAATTGTGCCTTCCACTTTCCTGGTGTACCCCAAAACTTGGTGGCTCCTAGCTATCCGGTTCCTTAGCTTTTTAGCCTTTTGGTGTTTAGAGGTAGTCTTCGTTTAACCAACAAAAGTAGTCACTTTTCGCGGGGGGATCTGAGGGCAGCCCAAAAGTGCCTTAAGCCAAGGGTGTCTTTTTTTGGGAAATCAACCACCCCTGGGGTTAAGTCCACCTTGCTAATCATCCCAGGGCGGTTTCAAGGGAACCCTGCCACCCCCCCCCCCCCCCCCCCATAGGCGGCGTACTGAGCGCCGACGCGGCGGTGGTGGCGATCGACGGCCCCTGGTTCTCACGCCAGGCGAGGTGATCCGATGATCCGATGCCGTTTTGACCGCCTGATGGCCCAAGGGGGGCTGGTCATGACTCACCAAGGTGTTTCCAGTCTTTTTTTGGTTTTGGCATGGTACTAACCATGGTCTTTCAGTTTTTGTTCTGTTATTCAACTTGACGGTTTTCCTATGGCAATATGAGGGCCTGAGTAGGTTGCAGGGTGCTTTAAAGCCACATTATTTTTCATGATCATGAGATGATTCGTGTCATTAGGCTGAATGACTACAATGATTTTCTTCTGGTGATTTAATTTGGTTTCATGGTACTCCAAAAAGCCCATTCCAATCAAGGCCCTTACCTCCCACCATGAAGCCTGGCTGGAGGTCGACGTTATATATATATATAAATCTTTCCAAGGACCTCACTCATGGCAGGCCTTTGACTTTCAGTTTGAGAATGGTTGGCGGAGGGTTCCAAGTTACAAAAGAACAGTCACCAATTGGCAAAATAATTTTCAACATGACTCATGACTCATGTAAGGCAGTGCTTTGCTTTCCACTTGTTTTTATGTGCCCTTGCGGATAGGATGTTTGATACATGGCTGTGGGTCAAAACCAATGGGATCCCATTTTGGGGTAGGTGAATTCACCACCCATTTTAGTCTATTTTAGGTGCACCACCCATTTTAGAACCTATTTTAGTGGTTGGATTGGGATGTTCACTGGGGGTACGATTTGGATATTGACCCATGGCCACATGGATTGACCGAGCAATCAGAGCTTGGCAGGTCGGCTTCGTGCCTGCACTGGTGAGCCTCTTTGAGACCATGCACAAGTGCTTCTCGCCGGGCTGTGCGAGTGAGTTTGCCTTTGAAAGGCCACGACTTCTTTGGAAGGGGCTTCCCAATAAAGTCCACTGGCTGGCTCAAAAAACCGGAATTCCAAAATGGGTTGGCCTGGTAAGTGGTTTTGAGAAACCCGCCATTTCTAAGCGGTGGTTTCAGGTTCCAGAGACCCACTCTCCAGTGGTGTTTCTAACCAATGCCTTTGTCTGGCTGTGGGTTTTGGGGCCAAACCACGGCCCGAGTGAACCCTCGGGGGTGCCAATGGAAACGCCAATGGGACTTCCAGGGCGCCCGGCATACCATGTCCCATTTTTCATAGTTCTCGTTTTTGATGACTTCAAGTATCATTTGTGCGCAGATTGCACCGAGGGGTGTTAGAAGAAAATCAGTGCAATGGATTCACATCACCACTAGCCAATATGGCCGCCAGTGTTTACCTAAGGGGTTTGATCATCGAAATTGCGTCCTTACCATTGTTCAAATGGGAGTTGAACCCTCGGGATTGTGGGGTCCAGAGCACCAAGGCTTCTTCGAGCGACAAGTGAACCTGGCCATGGTTCGATGGGCCTTGCGTCGCTACGTGCCTCGCCAAAAGAAGCAGGTCTTGCCATTGCCATCAGGCTGCTCCCTAAGGTCGAACGGCTTGCAGCAAAAAGTGGGGTTGTCTTGAAATGGGTGTGGGTCAAAATTAAACCACCAGGGGAGCGCAGGTTGTTGTGCAAGTTTCCATTTACCAGGGTTCCGTTTTGGGTACATATTTTTGACCCACAGCCAAATGAGGACCCTGAATGTGGACGGTTTCCTTTTGGTGCCCCTTCTCAAATCAAGTAAAATGGAGGTACCCTCCACGTTGTGTCCCTTTTCAAATCAACCAAGAGGCGGCGGTACCCTCAAAACGTTGTTGTTTGTTGGGAGATGTTTAGTGGGAAATTCTCACTGAACTGCTAAAACATTTTTTTTGCTCCCCTTCCAACGTCAACCAAGAAAACTGGCGGAAGTCAACCATTGGATTTTAATTTGAGACTCGGTGGGCAGCGACTCGGGCAGCTCGCAGGTCCGCAGCAGCTTCACGCGTGTGGCGAAGGCGGGGTTTAGGTGGCGCTACGGTCACTGGAGTTGTTGGGCCCAAAAAACGAACCCGATTGGTCAAAAGAAGCAGGGGAACCCAGAGGGCCCCAAAAACGGGTTGGTTGTTTTGGGCCCAAATGGCATCCAATTGGGCGATGCCTTCCTTGGTTTAGCAGCCTGGCTGCTCAGGTGAGCAGGGTGCATCCGGTATCGTTGCTGGTCAAAAGCAGCAGAGACGGGAAAAGCGAAGTGAGCCTTTCTGTTCGCTGATCGGCTGGCTGAAAACACGTTTAGTGGGAGTCCTAGAGGGGTCGAGTCCTAGATGTCCCCGAATTGAATCAACAGCTGGTCATGTTCCAGGTGGTTTTCCATTGAAACGATCGAATTCCACTTTTGAAGGGAACCCAAAAAGGGGATTTGGAGGGTTGATGTGAGTGTGATCGGATTTGCTCGGGCCTGGGGATTCTCGGGCCTGGCGATTCTGCAGCTTTCGGCATTCGTTCCAGGAAGACGCCATTTGCTGAATATGGGGTTCCAAACTTCAAGGGAATTGGGGGGAGGGGCTTTTGATACATGGGTGAAAAGTGAGATTGCCCAGATTCAAAGGGAATTGGGCATGGGATTCTAATAGGATTGAAGTGGCTGGTGTAGTCATTATAGGGTCTAAGAACTCGTTCTACGCTTTCTAAGAACCTTCCTGAGCTGTGGGGGAGGGTCTTTGGCTCCTCCCTTAACCGGATTAAAGTCCTCCAAGGTCCAAGAGGGAGAATGGCCCCTCAGGGCACAGAAACCACAAAGCAACCATCAAAGAACCTCATGCCCAAAACATAATGTCATACCTTTCAAGCATCCTGTGGATGGACGAAATCCTGCACCACTTTGAAGGTATTGGACACCATTGCTTGTTGGTATTTACAGGGGAATCCTCAGAAACCAGGGTTTCTGAACGGTGGCGCAGAATGGATTTCGCAACCATCCACAGTAGCGAGTCGAAACGTGGCAGGTGTCCTCAACCTAAAAAAGGCGGGGGGGGGGGGTGTTCAGTATTTTTGGAACTGCCCAGAAGGGAGGGGGTTTCTTTGATGGCCGGTGTTCAAACAAGGCTTTTCTTTCCCAGGTCAAAAGCCTATGGGCAACGGCTTCACTCGCCGAAGCGAAGCCGCCTTCCCAAACAGTCGAACGTGAAGTAGCAGTGAACAACTATTGCGCCTTCTCTTTTTTCTGGTCTCCGTTTGGCACCCTTCTTTTGACTTGACCCTTAAATTGGCACCTTTTTCCCTGCGAGATCTGCGTTCTCCTTCCCGGGCCGCCCGATTCCTTTCGTTCGTTGCGCGCCTTGCGAGGAGATGCAGGACAGAGGCGCGGACGACGCGGCGATGTCCAAGGCCTTCGGGCAGTGGTCTGCTGGCGGCATTTGGAGGGAAGTGGCCCTTGGGTGGTACATCTTTGAGACTTCGGGAGGTCACTGGAGCGGATTTGTTTGGGTCAAAATGTGGCACTTTCTTTTTTTTTGTGGGGGCGGCCATACACACACAAATTGCCAGATTCTGAAGCCCGAGCAGCGGCGAGTTGCCAACCCCCAACTAAAAGTTGACAACGGTTTTGCAAGCGTTTGCGCTCTTCCGGTTTCGTTTGACATGGACCAAATTTCTAACAGCTTCAGTCATGACATGGTCCTTGACATGGCTTTTTGGACAACCTCATTGGAACAAGCCGTTTTGCCCGCCCAGACGAGGTCATTTATTTGGGGCGCTATGGAACCCAAACTTGGCCCAGGAAAAGTGGCGTGTGAGAGAGAGAGAGAGAGCACCCCTTGCAACCCAGTCAGAGCTGAGGCTAGTGGAGAACCTTCAGCCACTGCCGCCTTGCCGCAAGATTCGACTGGCCGATGCCTTTGGTGGACATTGAGAGGGGGGGTTTACATATGGGCGTGGCTCAGAATTAAACAGGAGGGGTTACGCAGGTTTCGGTTCATCTTCCACTTACCAGGGTTCCATGTGTGTACCGGTTTTCTGAGCCACAGCCATATGTCAAACCATATTGTTAGAGTGTTGCCATGCAAATTTATGACTAGGACAGACGACGCACAACCAGGACTTGAAAGACCTGTCTGGAAAGTGCGTTGAGCATTTTTGGAGTGATCTCTTAAAGCTCGTTGGCACAAGTCTGAAAACCACAAGCCAGATCCAGTTTCCTATGGCGCGGCTGAAGTGACACCTCCATGGCCACTTGCTTTCAGCTACCCCCTTGGCGGTGTTTGGAAACCGAAGGTTTCAAGCCCTCGTTCTTGTGGGTAGTTTCTGCAACCAATCCAAGCCACCAATTGCACAAGCTAATACTTGGTGATTTGGTTTGGTGGGTTTGGAGGCCCAATGGTTTGGGTTTGGGGGACAAAAATCGGCAGGACACGAGTGAGCTTCCCAAAAAATGAGTGATTTGGCCAATGGATCTCCCGTGGAGAGCTGTGCTGTCAAAGGGGAGCCCCTACCCAACCGAAATGGTTGGTGAAACCATTCGAGCTGGGTTCGTCTTTGTATCACCCGCACAAGGTGACATGTCTTAGCTGAGAAGTGGGGAATTGGGCTCCCAAGGGTTATGGTTCTTGATCCTTTGGCCCCTGGTCACTGTCAGTCACGAGTCATTGAATTGCCTAATAGCGAGTCGCTCGGCTTGACAGCTCCCCTTGCGAGTTGGCTCTGACGCACAGAGCTCCGAACTCCGAACTCCGAACTCCTCCCCGAAGTCGCCGGCTTCGGGCTTCCAGTTGGCCCAAACCGCGTTGGGCGTAAAAACGAACGCCGTGGGCTTCCATTTGGCATGGCCATGGGTTTCTTTCGTGCTTAGCTCGGTTTTCTGCGCAACTCCACAGACTGGGGGGGTTCCAGAAAAATTCCAGGTTCCAGGTTCCAATATTTTTTGGGGGGGTTCTTTTGGGTGGTTCCAGGGTTTTGGCGCCAGACTGAAGAAAATTTTGCCGCTTTCCAGGGGGCCGAAGCCCGCGCCAAACGCTGGGGGGTTGGACCGAAGCCCGCGCCGGGCGCGTTTTTTTTCTTCTTTTTCTCCCAGAGAGCTGAAAGCTATAGGGGTTCCAGCTTCCAATACAGACACAGAAAGAACCAGTGCTAGAAAGCTATAGGGGAAAGAAACTTCTATTAGTTTCCCCTGAAAGTGATTTGCGAGACTGACTGTAGGGTGCTAAAGAGGGGCAAGCGATTTGCGAGATGGACTGGGTCCCCCCCCTCCCCAATTCCATATTCAAGGGGTAGGCCCAAAGGACCCAGAACTGAAAGATCACCTTTTGGGGCCATGTGCTCTTGGGGGCGGTTGAGTTTTATTTTTTTCCTCAGGGACCAGGAGCTGGGCTCGGCGCCCGGGCTTCCGTGGCTCCTGGAGGCCAGGTTTTGTTGAGCGAGTCGCGGTGGAACTGCAGCTGGCTGCTGGTTGGTCTTGCTTACAAGGAGAAACACGCAGAAAAAACATGGGTGAAGCGGGTCAAAAACACGTAAAAGGATGGGTGAAACGGGTAAAACAGCAAGTAAAGACATGGGTGAAACGGGTCAGAAACAAGTAAACAATAGGTAACAACGGCGTAATGGCAATGCATTCCCGCGTGTTTTTTGGGCAAACCCGCATAATATGGTTAAGCCAATGCAATGAAACCACGTATTTGTTTTGCAATGTTTTGTGTTTGAATTTTAATAGTTGGAGAACATCTTTTTCAATTCTGCCAGACAAATCCATGGCTATGGGTTCCAAGCATTAAATGCTGGCTGGATGGTGCACTCAAATGGACATACCCTCCTGTCCACTAACATGGACCCTCAATCAGAGGGTCCATTGAAGGACAATGGTCTTCCAGGATCCCAACATCTCAGGTTCCATGTTAGTGGACATGAGGGCAAATCAAATTCCCAATTCTGATGTCATGCCCTCACCCAATGCCGGGCGATTCAGCGGGCGCCTCATTGTACCTCATTAATGGGAGGGATGTACACCTTTGGAGCTATACCAAACTCCAGGCAAAAGGATCGATTCTTCTTCCATCTGAGTTTCCTGTTCCGTCTGAGATCCCGGAGCCGGTTGCGGTAAAACTGGAGCCAGGCCCTGCTGGATCCCTTGGATCTAGACTATGTGCCCCCCAGCATCTTGCACTTGGATTTGCCATTTCTGTATTCGACATGGTTTCATGGAGACTTTAGGTCCCCTCGGTCTTAAAGCAAAACACGGCGACGCTTCGAGGAGGCTGATCGCGGCATCTAGCGGCCGCTCGAGGGATAGATCGATCCAAGCGCCAGGATCTTCTGTCGGAGCACCTGGTGGGAGACAGCGTGGCCCCTCGGCCTGGATGAGCTGCTCCAGTTTCAGGCCTTGAATCCCAGCCAGCCACCGGAGGGAACGGATGCCTCGGGCATTCTCGCGGCATGGGGAGACAGTTCCCATTGATATTTGGCAATCTTGCTGCTTGTTGCCGAGGGAGTGGAGCCATTGACTTTATCTCAATTTCTACCCTGCTTCACTCAACTTCCTTCACCCAGAGGAAATATCTGCTTCATCTGCTTCATTTGCTTCATCGCGCCTACTTCATCTACTTCGGCTTTTGACAGGCTGGAAAGCTGGCCAAGGCACTGCAACAGGAACATCCTAATGACCAAGTTGCAATGGACTTTGGTACAGAAGATCCATGGTGGCCCCTCCTTTTGACACCGTAGCTACAGGCATGGCTTTTGGTACAGAAGCTCAATGGCCTAGGAGTCGCGGACCTGGTTCCTGCAGCAGAACGCGGTGTTCGATGCGCGTTTCGACTCGCTGGGACCCAGCCTGGCGCTGCTTCTGCGAACCTCGGTTTCGGGATTTCGCCGGCGGGCGGTTCTTTTTGTTGGGTTGTTGTGGGGGGCTGGATGAATGGGGCTCAAAGTTGGGGATGTTTTGTGGTTTGGTGGTTTTGGTGTTTGAGAGTTGGGGCAAAGGCAGGGCTTTGGAGGTTTGGGGTTTGGGGTTTTCCTTGCGGGTTTGCTTTCTAAAGATATTGCCGCAAACGATACCGGGCGGAACCTTCTGTGTAGATCCTTTCTGAGAATTGTTGCGCGCTTTTGCCGCGAAAGATCTCGGCAATCTCGGCCGTTTAAAGAGGAGGGTTTCGTGCGCAACCTCGTCTGCGACGTCCAAAGAGGTCATTCAGCAAGCAACAACTGGAGAGGCAACCAGCCGCGCTGCCATCCAGACAGGTGCAAGGCGAACGTTGCTTTTGTGGCGGAGGGCATGTGACCCACAATTGCCGGGTTGGAGGTTTGGGTGTTTGTTGTTCGGGGCTTGGGGATTGGGCGATTTGGGGTTTGGGCGATTTGGGAGTTTCGTGGCTTGCTTGGGGATTTGGGCGATTTGGGGTTTGGGTTTGGGTTTGGGGGGGGGGGGAGGGGGCAGGGGTCGGGGTTTGGGGGTTGCGAGTTCTTGGAAAGCCCCTGAAACCTCAATTCAAAGAGTAACTTTCAGGACGTGGCTTGTCTTTTTGTAGTCGGGTGCCAAGGTGGGTTGCCATTTTTTTGAAAATAACGTCGGCTTTTTTTCAAGAGCTCCAAGCAACGTTTCAATCAGTGGCCATTGTTGGTTGCACCCAACGGCCATTGCAGTGTTGATTTGCCTAACGGACCTTTGTTTGGGCTTTGAGGGTAGCTGCTGACAAAGTTCCTTGCTCAAGCAACAAGGCTTCTCTACGGCTGGAGCAAGCAGTCTCTGGCACGTTGCACGTTGGAGTTGGGAAGTAAGGCCGGGCCCCTGCAAACCTCATGTCTCTCAAAAATGAAATGGGTATTGCTTTCTTATTACGTTGGATGTTTGTATATTGGCTTCTTAGAGCAGCCACAAGTGGGGCACCCGGTGGCGTCGCGTTAAGCTTTCCGAGCCCAGGCCGTGTGGCTGCTGATCTGCCCATGCGCCGAGTGGTGGAGGCCGTGTAAGTCTCTAGGCCCGAAAGAAGGGCACAGATTGAACACCACTTGTCGCCATAAATGGGAACCTCGGTCTCCGTATGTTTGCTGTCTTCAAACAAATTCCAAGCCGAAAAACACGTGGAGGAGTGGTCAAAGACGCTTTGTGCCGATCATTGTTTTCAGTAGGTATCGAAACCAGGCTGAACCCAAAAAGGGAACGTCTCACGTGTTCCATGAACAAATACAACATATACTGAACCAATGGCAAACAACCACATTTCCCAGCAAAACAGCTGTTTCCACATGGGTTTGTCATTGTTCTATTGGTGTTTTCAGGAAACTCAGGTGTTTTTTCTTTTTGAAGCGTGCACACATCTCTAGTTTTCCACAAAGAACAAAGAAGCCAAACCGCCAGACCCATTGCTCCAGAGCCGGAGAAGTGCCCACAAGCTAAACAAATAGGAGATTTCCGACAAGCGAGGAAATAGATCATGAGCGTCTTTTCAAATGATACGTTGAGCAAGACTATATCGAAGAGCAAGTAAAGAACACCATTAGTTTGCTTTTATCGTGCATATGTAGAATGGACGTTGCGTTTCCCTTATTTGGCTTTTTCACTCTTTTAAAGGGCAGTCCACTTAGACGAAACAACAAGACTTTCTTTCATATTTGAGGTCAATTTAAGTTCTAGGTAAGCGTAAACTGCAACCATACTTGGCAGATCATGCTTGTCGAAAACTTTAGCTCAAGATAAAGCAACGATGTACTTGCAAAGTTTCCTTATTAGATTGTATTTAGATTCTAGTCAATTATCATCTTATTTTTGAAATCCATGTAAATTCAAATTTGGATCTCCATAAAACACCTATTTGGAAAGGAGCTCCCATTTAAATTCTAAAAGAGAGATCAGGTTACTTCATTGGTTGCAAAAAAACGCAGGCCCCATGGCGTCCAGCAATGGCTCCATGTGACTCTTTCCGCCACTTGATGGCACTCTTTTGGATGCAAGAGGGACAAGGAAACAGAAGGAGGGACCAAAAGGATTCCCGTGCCCACGCTTTTTCCCTTCGAAGAAGTTTTTTTTTCGCTTGGCCAACCATCACCCCCCTCCATTTGTTTGGGGCGCTCTGCTTGGGATATTCCAAAAGGAATCGATTCCTTCGGCATAGCCACTCTTCCTTGCGAACAGGCGCTCATCGACACAGAGGCACGCGGGCATATGCCGATGTGGAGGGAGGTGTGATCCAATTTTTGTTTGTCGTGGTTGCACGGTGTTTGCTTGAACGCTGGACTCTGGCAGATGGTTGGTTTCCTTTTCGTTTTCTTCAAACATGCGCAAAAGGGGGTCGCTACCGTGGGAAACCCCCACTTTGATGTGCATTGCTTCCCGAACAACTGTCTTGCACTTACGCAGTTTTAGTTGGTTTGCCCTTCTTCATACAAAGTGGGATCAATCCAAAAAATAAGCGATGACCAGTGACCTGCGAACGGCAGTACAATTCTGTCCGAAGATGTTTCACGCTGTTGCTTGGTGCTGAGATGCCTCGTGAAAGCCTGACAGCGCGAGCATCCGGAAATGGCGTAGACCTATGTGTTGTTCGACTTAAACGAATCATGGTGCACAAGTCTTTGTTTTTCAATCACGCCAATGAACGTACATATAAGCAGAATGCAATCATAGTTATTGCGTGTGATTGATTTCAACAAGATGGAGTCTTTATTCTTAGGTTGGCCAAGCTTGTTTTGGGAAAACTGGGATGTCATAGTGCCAAGTGCTGTTAACTCTCTCGACCTTGCTGGCACTCGGTTGGGTTGATCGTCTTTCTCGGGGCCATTTTGGCTCAAGTCCCTGACTTGATCCCGGGGAACCTCGGCTTTGCCTTTGTTTTACAGCCATGGAGGTTGATGCGGAGTCGGATGCAGCTGAGCTAGGTGGCCTTCGGGCGGGGACGGCTGCTCCAAGCGCTGTATCCCTCCCGCAAAACCCCAGCCTAGAGGACCTCCTCAAGGACTTGCCGGTGGAGTCGACCAACCTGGGCATTAAGGAGGAACCTGGAGTCCGGACGGCTGCGTCAAGCGCTGCATCCGCTTCAGGGAAATCCTGGGTGCTCCCAGGTGCGGATGACACGTCAGAGAAGAGAGCGACAAGTGGCTCTACATCGACGGGAATGACTACTGCGGGCCGACCACGGCGGAGCTGGTGGCCTGGATCCTGGATCAGGCGGTCCCCTCGAAGGTCTTCAAGGAGCTAGATGTCATAGACGGCCAGGCTGAAATGAGCATTATGGACCTAATTCCCCAGGCCCACGTTTGGTGGCCGGCGGTGGTCCGCTGGTAAGGAGGACCCCATCAACACGCTTGACTGGGATGGTGCTGATGTACTGGTCCGAGCAGACCCCTGATGCGGCTTTCATGGACCTCATCGCGAGAATGCCTGCCGTATCGCTGTCGAACAACTTGGTCCCCCTACATCTGCGGAACCCCCAGCTGGGGCCCGCTTCGAGAATGATCACAGGGTGAAGTGCTTGCGATTCCGGTGCTGGCGAAGCACGCTACAGAACAACGTTTGGGAACCGCAATCAAAGAACTTCCAGGAGGAGTTCAAATTCCAGTATGGGGTGAAGCAGACCCACATGAAATCGAGGTTACCCCAATCTCTGGCTGTGCAGTTCACTGGCGCGGAAGGCCCAGTGGAGCGGAGGCCGACCCACCCTAGGCGGCAAGGACAACGACGTGTTGGTGAACAACATGAAGAAGCTGGCCGCTGAAGGCCTGCTCTGGGAATCGGACCTCTCGACCACCAGGTATACCTCACGCTCGCTGGACAACCCGCAGGTGCCGGGGGAAGAAGTTCTAGCACTGTATCTTCTCCGGAGGCAAACGGTGGATGGATGACTGGGGGCACACAGTCATCTTTTACTCTACCTCTCACCACGGGCAATATGCAGAGTGGATCCGAGGGGACGGGGCGGCTGCCTCGAGCGCTGTATCTCAGACCCCAGGAAATCTGCAGAAAGGACCGCCGGAAGGATCCAACGACACCACAACCGACAAAACTGAGACGGGGGCTTGGAGGATCAGAAGGCGCTCCGGACGGCCCCGAGCGCTGTGTCCGTGGCGCCTGATCAGGCTGCTACCAGCGGCGGGGCCGCAGAGTGCCAATCAGGCCACCGTTCAAACCGGAGGGCGGACCCTCCTGACCTGGCAATATACATGCTGCCAGGTTTCCGTGGTCTATCTCCCCGACTCGTACATCGGCTGCGACATCTGCAGGGACAAGCCTACGTGATGAGGTCTTTGGACCCCTGGTAAAGATGGCAATGGAAGGCAACCTTATGGCGATTGTGGGGGGCCCAAACAACAAAGGAATGTCGAGGACGCAAGGGCCAGCAGGCCCAGCAAAACTGACCAGGAGGATGTGGACAACGCTGCTCCTCCTTTACCACATCTCCATTCTGGCGGGACACCCGCCGCCAGCTTTCCTAATGGAGCATCCAGAAGACCCAGGACACCCACCAAAAGTGCAGCTCGTGGTGGGCCACATCGCAGTGCAAAGACTTCTGCTTGTTGTGTAGGATGTGGATACAGGCTTTTGACCAGTGCATGCTGGGCCATCCAGCCAAAAAACCCACAGAGGCCCGGTGTGCACACCCCAAACGCAAGGCCTGGCGAGATGGGGATGGCATCCCTGCTTTCATACTGGGGCCAAGCGCAACACCCAGGTAACATCTTCCCTGGCACCGGTCCAGGTGGACGGATTGGTGGTGACCCTGGGACACCGCCCCTCAGAGATGGGGAGGCAAACCGTTGTGGCTGGGACAATGAGGAGCGGCTGGTAAGACCCCCATGGATCTCCTGCAAAAAAGCCTGGAATCTAAGGACAAGCGTGGGCCCTGGGCTCCGGAATGGTTACAACATGTACGGTTGCAACTCGCCCATCAACTTGGCAGACACCTATCCAGGACAGTGGACCAGGACAACCTTTCCACCTTGACATCCTCAAAGCACTGGCGGACATTCCTGGACCACCTGGTAGATGGAGTGCCAGTGGGGTCGACGCACCGGTCCTCAGATCTGGCCCTCAAAAGCGGAACTGGGGCAAACTCCACAGGAATTGGAGCCCCTGGTTCCGACTACCGCCGAGAACTACTCAAGCGCAGAGAAGTTTGAGGACGAGATCGAGAGCACCTTCAAAGAAGAGCGGGACATGGGCATGGTACTCGGCCCTTTCTCCAAGGAAGAGGCCGCCAAAGTCTGCGAATGTAGACCGGAAGACCTTTGTGCGGGGGCCATGGCCGCGATCCAGGAGGCAGACAAGGTCCGCACAATCTTCGACGCCACCAGCATTGGAGTGAATGACAACATCTGATCACACATCACCAAGAAGACCACCTCCCTCTGCTGTGGGCAAGGGGACAGCTCTTGCAGGAGGACCTCACCTTGTTCAAGTCGGATGTCAGCAAGGCACACAGACGAATCAAAATCCGTCGGACTGACTGGAAATACATGATAGCGACGATCAAGAACCTATTCTGGGTCAACATGGTCGGCACCTATGCGGTTGCATCTGCGCTGACGCGGTTGACCTACCGCATCTCGGCGGAGTTCTTGTGGGTCATGCTCTTCGTGGACGACTTCACGCCTCCTGTGCAAGAAGATGGCGGGCATCTTCCTCCTGTTTCTTTCCCTGGTGGGATGTCCCATCTCCTGGCATAAAAATGCCCTGAGACCGCAGAACTTGTGGCTAGGGTACCGGGTGGACATCAACAAGGGTACGGCCTGGTTGCCAGATGAGAAGCTGGAAAGACTGCAGCCTATGCTGCAGAAACTGCATTTGAGGGAGCTCCACACAAGGCCGCAGGTGACCTCTCTCCTGGGCCTCCTTCAGTGGGTAGCTAAGGCGAAGGGGCCGGGTCAATTCCTGGCCAAGTTAAGTTGGCCTTGTCCACGATTTTAGGAATGCCGGTACCTCCATTCCGCCATGGCCTGACCAATGGATGCCATGGATGCAGTGACGCAGGAGAATCTCACTGTTGGAAAGCTGGCTTGGGGACTCACCAAACCCGGACAAGTCCCAAGTATGGTGGCTTGCGCGGACGTTTTCTGGTTGGCCCCCTTTGGATCCAGCTCGACGCATTGCCGCCCTGGAGCTCCTGGGATCTCTACTCCTGTTCATGTTTGCAGCAGACAGGGTGGCCACCCACCTCATGGAGGTACATATACCCCTCCGCACAGACAATGAAGGCAACGCCTATGTGGCATCGAAGCGGTCTGCAAAGAAGCCCTGCTCTGCACAGGAACAGAAACGGGCAGTCTTCGCGTCTCTCCACCATGTCAAACGATGCTCCAACGTGTGGGCGGACCAACTCACTCACCTGGACTCCGCTGGGTTTGACATGCAACGCCGGATCTCGGTGGTGGATGGCTTCACACCCTCCTGGATCCTGCTACCGGACCTATGCAGAACGTCCAACTATTTGGTCGCATGGAACCCCTAGGCTGGCATGACCGCCGTAGCCCCAACACTCCCATGCTGGCCTAGGTTGCCTGGGACTCCATGGAACTCCACTACGGCAAGCGAGCCAGTTGCTCTACTGAGGCATGAAATCACTCACCACCCCAGGAAACCTGGGCTGGTTTTTCTCTTGTACCTACTAGGTTGTGGTTCTGGGCTACTCCCCAGAACCGCCGTTGTACTGGTTTTTATTTAGCCGCGGATTCACGAGACCGAAACTCTTTTGAACACGGACTCACGCGGAACCTGGGGTATGTGAATACCCTTAATCCGGGACTGGGGCTGGCAGGAAGCAGACACAGCCAACAGGCTGTGTTTGCTGCCCTGCCCGCCCTGGTTTGGGTTAATTTTGCCACCCTCGCGGTCTCGGGGTAAAAGTGCGAGGAGTGCTGCAGACTGCACTGTGACTTAAATTTACTTAAAACAAATAATACTCTGATACTCAAGTGCAACATATGCTATACTGGCTATACTGTCCAACCTTCGATCTGTTTCCTTTCTGCCGCCGTTGCAGGCTACGGGGCCTGTGGCACCAACTCGGCAGGAGGCACTGGGCGAGTCCTTGAGATTGACTGCTGCGATTTTGGGTGTATCCAGAAATCCAGCCACAGCCATAGTCAAAAATCTGCTATGTGTCAAGGACATGGCAGGCTCAGGGAAGCTGAGCCTGAAATGGGGAGACTGCTCTGAGGCTGTTCATGCGGCTGATGCTGTTGCTCACAGGGCTGACGTTTCTGTTGCTGCATGTCCAAATTCCCTAACAAGGGGCTAGGTATTTGCTTGGGGTAGTCTTTTGACCCCACGAATGGTCTACTTGTTTGTGAGGGACACTTTGGACTCACGAATTGTTCAAGAAAAGAAACAGCAAAGGCTTAGGGCACCGCATCATTTTCTCCGCGTGTTTTGCGGGCACTTCTGTTCAAATCGCCTCGAATTCTTTGGGCCACCCGGAGCCATCGACTTCCGACTTCCGACTTCGCAGGGGTCGACTTTAGATGAGCAATCAACACCCGGGTAGATGAAGATAAGTAAGGGACAACCCGCTTTGCCATAGATAGCTGCGGAAATTTCCGCCTTCTGAATTCTTGAAGCATGGTTCTGGGATTACGACCATTTTAGTGCAGGGTTTGAGCAAGTGGCTCAGATGACTTCGCAGGCGGAGCTGCTGGCCACGTGTTTGGAGACCTCGCTGGAGCCCCCGAAGAGGGAGGCGAAGGAGTGGAAGGAGCCCAAGGAGTTCAAGGAGCTGCATGGGGCGATGGGGCGATGGGCCGAGCAAAGATTGTTCTGCACATGTACCAGTGGCTCGCTTTTTTTTGAGAAAAGCTCCACGTGTTGAGCGATACAGGTTTGCAGCTCAAGGCAACTGGCAAGATTGGTGATAGTGTATCACCCCTACTGGTTACAGGGCAGTGTGATGTAGTGATATCAAATTGACACCCTTCAAAGGCGAAAGTACTATTCAACCCCCCCCCCCCAACCCGAAATTCCAACCCCTAACCCCCCCTTCCCTTCCCAAGCCAACCGCGCGCCAAGAACGCGAGGAGCCCAAGGATGGCAAGGAGTGGCCGCAGCGGAAACCCCGGATGTCGGACCTGGCAGAGGTGCTGAAGTGCGACTTGCCCCCGGGCCCAAGGATGCGGGTTGGTTTGGTGGGTGCGTCAAGAGTCTTTAGTTTCCTTTGGCATTGGCTTGTTCTCGTGCTTCTACAGTTCTTCTTTCTTTCCCACAGTTGTTAGTTTCCTTTGGCATTTTGTTCTCCTTTTTTTTACAGTTCCATGTTTCCCACAGTCTTTGGTTTCCTTTGGCACTGGCTTGTTTTTTCCCTCTATGTACTAACCATATCAAAAGTGGGCCATGAGTTTTGAAGCAGGGTGCGCAATTCCCTTTGTCCGGGCGTTGCCGAGGTCTGTGGCTCCATCCACGGATCCACTGGAGGGTTGTCATCCGGCATGAAGTCCGGTGAAGCTTAAGGAAGCGTTTTCCTTTGACTCCCAATGGCATAGACCCCGTCGCGGCATTCAGTGAACCAGAGCTCAGCGTCTCATCCGTTGCCTCGGCACATTCCTTGCAGTCTTCTCTTGACCGTGGCAGGCAGGCAGCTATTAACAAGCCTCACCACTCATTGTTTCGGTATCGTTCAGGAGGTGTACCTCTCTTGTATTCATATGGGTGTGGGTCAAAACTAAACCACCAGGGGACCGCACATTTTAGTTGTTTCCATTTACCAGGGTTCCATTTTGGGTACCCATTTTTGACCCACTGCCATATCGGCGCTCTCAATATCATTCGTTTTGCTTGTTGCGCACCTTGCAGCTGTTCAGCTCGTGCTTGGCCAGCCGTTGATGTCTAGAAGCAATGAGACTTTGTTTGCAGAGAGAGGGTCTCAAGTCTTTTTTGCTTAACACACACACACACACACAAAAACAACATCTACACAGTAGACAGCCTGCGGACATAAAGAGCACAGTGACTTCAAACTCTGGTGGGCTTGAAGCTTAGGAGGGCATCGCTGTAGCATCGCCAATGTTTGACTTGGGTTGAGTTTCGCTCCCCTGGTTCTCGGCATCTTTGTTTGGCATCGACCGCCCCGCAGAACCAAGCCTCACCCGAATACACAATCAAGGCACGCTTGGATGATGCAAGCCCTCTTTGGGCGTTTGCTGCCTGCTGCTGCAGCTGTGGCTGCAGGCGAGACGCTCTTCCAAACTGTGCCCACGGTGGACCTTACCGCGCCGGTGGCAGAGCGCGGGGCAACGTTACGTTCTGCTCTTCAGCGCTGGGGCTTCTTCTACGTGAAGAACCATGGCGTGGCGACAGCACTGGTGGATGAGCAGTTCGCGGCGGCAAAGGCGGTGTTCGCCCTTCCGACTGAGGCGAAGCGAGATCTAACCTTTGAGCCGACTTTGGACATTGGGTGGCTCGCATCACAAGGCCTCGACGAGGACAGTGGCAAGCTAGATACCAAGGAGGGCTTTCTGCTTTCGACCAATGGCCTCTTCCGGCGGAATGTCAGCCTTGATCTGCAGGATCCTCTCCGCGGATCAAGGCTCAAATGGCCGCCGGTGCCAGGCTACGAGGCGACGATGCGCCGCTGGACGCGGGAGCTTTATGCCTTGAACCAGAAGCTCAACGAGGCCCTCTTTGACGCCGTTGGCCTCGACGCCGCCGAGCGTCACCGCCTTGCCTCGCGGCCCTTCGTCATTGTGAAGCAGCTGCGCTACGCGCCGACGCGCGATCTTGGCGCCGGTGCCCACGCCGACTGGGGCTCCCTGACCGTGCTGGTCACCGACGATGTGCCGGGCCTTGAGATCCTCACCGAGGACGGCTGGCTCCCCGTGCCACCTCGCCCGGACTGCTTCATTGTCAATGCTGGCGACCAGGTCGACTTTTGGACCCGCGGCTTCTTCAAGAGCTCCAACCATCGCGTGCGCCCGACGAGCCACCAGGTCCGCTTCTCCACAGCCCTCTTCGCTTACTTTGACTACGACGTTCTTGTCACCCCATTGGCCGAGATCCCGGAGGTGAACCTGTCCAGACCGCTGTCGCCGGGCATCACCACAGGCGACTACTTCGCCTTCAAACTCTGCGAGTCGGTGGGGAAGGCGCCGGAGGAGTGTCGGCCCAGCGTGCAAGACGCGCCCCAGGGCGGCTCTGCCGAGCTCTGAGCGCCTGAACGCCATGTGCAGCTGGGCTTTCCCGTGAAGTCTTCGGCTGAGAGACAGCCATGGAGCCATGAACCTGAAATCTCTAAATCCCTAGCAAAAAAGCCCTAAAGACAAAGGAAGTGGGTAGTTGACTTCTACAAACTCTTTCCCGTAAGCTCAAAAGCTGGAGCGCGAGAAGTGGCCAGCCTGCTGGGCCACTGGAGGATGAGCGCTCGATGGCTCGTAGCCACCATGGGGCTGCTCGTGGCGCGTGCCGGAAAGGTCCGCGCGACAAATCCTCCCAGCCTTTCCAAGACTTCAGCGGGCGGGGGGGGGGGGGGGACACCAAATGTAGACATTACAGGGATGTTGCCTTTAGTGTTCTTTCATGTTTCCTGTACTTTGCAACTGCCTTGAGTTTTTTTTTCCTGGTGCGTAGGGCAGCCAGCCACCTGGTTTTGATGGGTTCAGCGAATGAGCTTGCCTTTCGGATGGCCAGGTTGCTCTGCAATTGTTTGGGGCGATGAGGCGGTTGCAAGCCCAAAGGAGGCCGTTAAAATAATAGAGGTTTCACCCAGGTGGAGAAAGCCTACATTTCCTTCAGCCCAGGCACACAAGGAGCTCCGTAGTTTTGGCCCACATCCACATCTGTCCATTTGTCCCCTGGCTCGATTTTGGGGCAGCTTGGTTCTGATATGATGCGATGATGCGATGATATGATAATATAGCCACATGATATGATATGATATGATATGATATGACATGACATTATACGAGGATACGATGACACGACGAGAGCAATCTTGGGATGGTGCGCACGTGCACCTGCCGAAACATTTGAGGCTCTCCTGGGGCCGCTGCTTGCGCTGGTTCAACTCGGCGCAGGAGGGCGGCTGACTTGACGCTGCTTCTGAGAGGCAGAGACCACTCCGAAGTGTCCCCCAGCTAGGTGCCCTTCTTAACCCCTTTTTTGGTTGGGAGGTTTCCCCTACTAGAATAGACTACAGAAAAAGTTGGTATCTTTCCTTCTAACCTCTCTACTGGAGGACCTAGACTCATCTCAGGAACTTCGGGAGAAAGGCATAGGTGACCTTTTGTACAAATAGATGGCCCTGGCGAATGGAAGAAGTCCAATCTAAACCAGCGCCATCTACTTCTAACCAAACCAACCCAAAAGCAACACCTATGCAGGAATGGTTTTGGGTAGGGCTGGGTTGCCAAAGAAATCGGGAATGTCTCCAGCACCTCTGCGGAACCTGGACCCCTCCAAGCCTTTACTGTCCCAACCCCATTGCGATTCACCAGTTGCTGTTGTTGAGAAAACGGTGTTTGTTTCTCATTTTTTAGTTGTTTCGGTCCCTTGAAATGGCGACAGGTTCCTTTTTGCCCCAACACCGTCCCCCCAAAAAACGACCAAGGAGACATCCCCAAAAGGCCCCTCGAGCCTGTTCGAGCGTCCAAAGGCTCAGGCTCCCCAGGCGGCCAGGAACTCATGGACCTCGGTTGAGAAGCCCCGAAGAGGCCTCCATCGGTGCCACTTCTCTCCCCTCCACACCTGGGTTTGTGTTTCCCTTATCCAACTGGCAACTCGGATTTGGGAACGTGAGGAGTCTCTGCCGGACGACCTCCAGGATCGCCTTGCCAAGTGCATAGCACCTGCAGCTCAGCTGAAGAAGCTGTTTTTTTGTGTCAGGCGTCCCTCTGTTTTTTCCTTTGTGGGCTTCAATATCACCTTTTTGTGTCAACCTCAAAGCGAGTTGGCGGTTTTGTGTAGGCCCCCGGTTTTTCGGGGGGCGAAACGCCTTGTCACCCCGTGCCCAAAGAGGGTGTCCGCTTCACCAGCCCCGGTCCTCTTTTGCCGGGCTTGAGATGTCACTGGTAGCGGAGGTGGTACTGTGGATGGTTGCGACATCCGGAAATCGCACCACGAAATGAAACCATGGGAATGAAACCATTGTTTGTTGGTATTTCCAGGGGAATCATCAGAAACCAGGGTTTCTTAGGTGGTGCAGGATTTCGTCCATCCAGAGTATGTGCGTTGCTCGGAAAGCCGTCCGACGGTCGGGAGAGTTCGGATTGGAAGGATGTGGGCTGATGGCCAATAAGCTGGCACCAGGACTCCAATTCGCCAAATTTTCTGATGTTCCTTCATTTGAGGGGGGCTCATGACCAATTCCGCACTTGGCACTACCTCCAAGCTGCACCCTTGTTTGAGGTTGCTTGGGGAATGCCATTTCCACGACAAATTTGCATTGCTTTGTACTACCACTAAGCATGTTTGCTGAGGCATTCTGGACTGTCCTCTTGATTGCGAGTGTGCCGGCATTTCGCACACGTAAAGGTAAGGTTATCGAAATCAGGCCTGACTCCAATCACAAGAAGCAGCGGCCTCTTTGCCGCACTCGCCTCTTGTTATGGGGATATATGGAGATACATGATCTACGAGTCACCGGCTTTCTCACTTCAGCCTTCCGCAATGTGAGGGGCTAGATACACACCTTATTCTCTTGTGACCATGACTAAATTTGGATTTGAGTGCGGCTCAAAATTAAACAGGAGGGGCAAACCGCAGGTTTTGGTCCATGTTTCCACTTACCAGGGTTCCATCTTGGAATTCCGGTTTTTTGAGCCACAGCCATTTTAAGTCCCCACACCCCATTCCACTGATTGAGGCCTTCGAACATGGAACCAAACCCATGGGAAGCAATGCCTAGGGCAAGGCCGGACTGCAGATGCTGGCGGAGGCATGCGAAAAGGGCTCGCTTTCGGCTTCTCGGCAAGAAGGCAACGGTCCTTTCAGAAGTCGCTTCTTTGTGACATGAGCTTGCATCTTGTATATATGGGTGTTTTTTTGTTTTGGAGCGTGCCCAGTGCAAAGGGAAACCAAGGGAAACCAATCACGTTTGGGGGTCCCCAGTGTAAGACATACCCATATAGTCTCTCCACAGGATTTTGTGTTGGGTCTGTGTTCTGAATCGACCTTGATTTTGATGGGATAGGATTTTAGAACCCTTGGTGCCAGGACGGGGGGGGAGCCTTATGGAGGCCAACCTTTTGGGAGGTGCTCGAGAACGAGTGGTGAATGTTGGGGGCAAGATGCGCCTCAAACGGAGTTGCAAAGGAGTTCATGCTCAAACGGCAGTGGTTTGAACAGGTTGACACAGTTGCCCCGGACCTTGCGGCATACATTCGCGCTGAGTCTGCTTGACCCCAAAGATCTGGTTTGTTTGTGTGAGCCAGTAACGGATGATATGAACCATCCTGACCAAACCAATTGAAACTGGAGGTGACTCAGAATCCACTCGAAACCTGCCGAATTCCCTGCTTTGGACGGTGACACTGCCTGACCGTTGGGACAGGTGGGGAGTTTTGCCTGCCACAAGTAATCAAAGAGTTCAAAAGGGACCTGACAGGGGGCGATTAGTTGGCTCACCCTCACCCCCCCCCCTTTTGTTAGGCAAAGCGCGGATTGAATCCTTAGTTTTGCGCACCCGCCCGCGACATTGCACAACTTTCTCCGCTTCTTGTTGAGAGTAAATGGACAATCATCCCTCACCTCCAAATCGCCAATCCAGGCTGACTGAGCGTTTGATCTGCAAGGAGTCTGACTCGGATTCCATTGGAATCAGAAGTATCCCTCTCCGATGGAATGCATGCACCACTTGGTTTCAGTCCTTCCTCCAATGAAACATGATAGAGAACATAATCATCGGGTAGTGGCTAGGTGGGAGTTATGTATTCCACGTTCCTTTTGGGTAGCTTCAGGGGATGTGGAAACCATTTGGGACCAAATTCTTTGGGGAACCTAACATTTCTTCCTTCGGGGATGCACATGTTTTCCTACGGTTTGTTTGACCCGCAACCTGTACCCCAGGGTTCAACTCGCCAGAAAAAGCAGGAGTTAATTTAAACACCGTTTACCTAAGGATTTTGCCCTGAAGGAGGAACTTGCCCATGCAGAAAGCCAGACAGGCGGGGGTTTTCTGTTCCCTTGGTAAGGGGCAAAGCAATTGACTTTTTGTTTGCAGGAGACACGGAGTTTGATTTCAAAGTACCCTCCAACCAATCAACAGAGAACCTGACGTTCGGGACCTGGTCCCTAACGGAAGATGGTCCAGGACCCGAACGGCCCGAGGTCAGTGCTCTTGGACAACTGGTGGCCGGGTCCGACGGCGGGGATGCGCTGGAGCGGGGGTTTGGGGCAGCAGATTTTGAGCCTGGCTCAAATGAAATGCGTATGAACGTCGGCAATTTATTTCAGTCTATCTGGGAGGGACACAGCTAAACGAACCCTTAAGTTTCAATAGGAACCTTCTCATGTTCTCAAGTCTAGTAGGCTAACAGTAAGTGTGGACCCTGGCTCAGGTGTGCCGGCTACTTGGGGTTGGTAGGGACGGTCACGGACCCCTTCCTAGACAACCCAACACAGATGGTGATTGTAGAGAGGAAGATAACAACACAAGCAGCATAAGAACCTGATTCATAACAACTACACTACGCCCATACCAGCCATATATTATAGATTGGTTATAGGAACATGTTTACTCGTTGCCTATTTGTTAGTGTTGGATGAAGACACGTACACCGATATCAATAACATAGATTCCAAATGACGTCATAGAAAGAGAATGAAGGGAAAGGAGAGAACGGATATGTAATGCTTCTTCATGTTTTAGTATTTAGAACACTAAGCTGGAACATGATGGTTTATCTGGATTGATATGATAAGAACAGTAGTTAGAGTGAAGAATCCAGATGACTTAGACTTATTATAAATGGCTCGCCTTCCATTATTTTCCTTCTCCCTCGATCTGCAAAGGACTTTGTCACAAGATATAGATTCGGGAGCTTGCAAACAAACACGTAATTCCATTCATATCTATCACCCTAAGCTAGCCAAAGCCGATAGGGGACATTTCCTACTGAGCACCGATCGCCAGAAGAGGAGCTCGCGGGTTTGCCGGGCGCGTCGGCGGCGCTGCAGCGGTGGCAGAAGCGGCTGGTGGAGGCGGGCGATACGCTGCAGAGCCTGGCGCCTTGGCTCGGGGGGAAGGGGGGGGGGCGGTGGAATCTCTGCTTTTTTTTTTGGGGGGGCAGCGGGGCGCTCGTTTTTTTTTTTTTTTTTTTTTTTTCCTTTTTTTTTTTTTGCCTTTTTTGGGGTTGGTTTGAAGGGAAAACAAAAAGGGCACCAACCACTTGTTGGTGAGTTGCCCTGCTACAAACAAAGCATGGAGCTTTTGGTTGGGCTTCTTTACAAATTGTGAATTCGATTACCCAGATGGTATCCGTTAACCTATATTCCCTTTTTGACCCTGTGAGAGGAGCACTCCAAGCCAGAGGTCCCTTTCAGGTTTCATGTTTTGTTGGGAGGGTACGGAGGGTGCCAAGGAAACATCGAGTCTATGTTTCAAACCCCTCTTTGGATCCGGTTCCACCTCTTGCCCTCTGGGTGGTCGAACTCCGAAACACATGGCGGGTCAAAAATAGGGTAACCCCAAAATGGAATCCTGGTACATGGAGACATGGACGATTTAACCTGCGGTCCCCGTGGTTTAATTTTGACCCATACCCGCATGGGTTATAGAAGCTACCAAAGATCTTTGGTGGGTTTCAGTGAACTCTCGTTTGACAGAGAAATTCCAAAAGGAAGGCAAGAACTTCTGGGCTCATTTTGGTCTCCCTGCAGGACCTACAAAACCATCAGGGGTTATGGGTTCCGTTGGGGTCCCTACATTTCACTTGGTGGGTTTAAGCTCCACCTTTGGGCCTATTTAAGGTGAGTTTGCAACTTGGTAGTGCTGTTTTAGGCTGGATATATATATATATATGTAAAACCCTGAAACATTTTGTTTTTCAGATCCACCGTCCCAAACTCTGCCCTTCCAACCACTTTCGTCTCATCCGGCAAGAGCCACGTTTTCCCCGCTCCCCCGACGTCGCGGCGAGGGGCGTCTGGCTCAGGTTGAGAGCTGCAAGAGCCTCTGGCCATCCGACGCCAAGCTGCACCTGGCCATCGGCCGGGTCTCGGAGGCGAAGAAAAAGCAGCTCGCCGCTCGAAGGTTTGATCCGCCTTCAAAAGGACTGAAGGGGAGGTTTCTTGGACTCTTTTTTCATCGCAATGAGCCATTCCCTCCAGTTTCTTCGGGTGTGTTGAAATAGGGGTACCGGCCCCAAAGATGGTGGGTTTCCTTTTGGTTTTCCTTCACGCCAACCTTCAAGACATCCAACATGGGTGTCCCAAAATCCCAATCATGTGGGTGTTCCTCTTGGCTTCCCAGTTGGCTCTAAATGAATCTGTTGGGAAACCTGAAGAGAGGTTGGTGGACCATGAATCCAACCACCAGGATGTCCGCCAAAGGGTCTGGGACCCATCAAAATTCACACAAAAGAGTCAAAATAGGACACCAGGTGTTGCAAAATGGCCTTTCCCATGACTTTCTCTCAAAATAAAAGACCGGGCCCCCATTTTTTTTGGTGACCTTTTGGTTTTCCTTTTTGGTTTCCAATTAAAACACACCCCCACGCGGTTTCAACCCTCCCTCCCCCCCCCCCCCACCCGTTGACTCCTCGCGCCAGGCCTGGCCGGAGCTCCCGGCGGCCATGGCGCTGCGTGGGCTGTCGGGGGAAGAGCCCCGAGGTCCGCTGGCGCAGGCGGGGGGTCGCCGTGGGCTGTGGATGGCTGCGGAAGGGGCCACACTGTTGCTGAAAATGACTGCTTGAACCCAGGCGAACCACTCCCCGTTTTTTGGCTTTTTATTGGTAATTGGAGATTTGAGCCCTGTGGATGGCTGCGAAAAATCCGGAAATCGCACCACCGAACTCAGAAAGATTCGGCAGGTTTATGATGCGATTCCCCTGGAAATACCAACAAGCAATGGGTTCGACCACGGGTTTTTAAGGTGGTATCGGATTTGGTCCGTCCACAGTAGGGCTATGCCGTGCGGATGGAAGCTGGCGAGGGTTTGGAGCCCCAAGACGATTCTCCACTTTAGCTGGACGGAGGGAAGTTGACCTTACGGGGTCAGCACCCGAATGGACTTGGCGCGAGTGAGGGATGTATCACTTGGCCGGGATCGTTGCAAAAGCTCAGCAACCTTCAATTTTCAGATCAAGAAATCAGCGTGACAAAACGCGTGTCGGAACGATATTTGTCCAAAAGGTCACCCATGCCAGCAGAAAAAGAACACGGATGGGTCCACAAAAAACACAGGGGGTCCACAGGGGGTCCACAAGCTGGACAACAAATGCACGGGGCTCCACAAAAAACCGGGGGTCCAAAAGGCGACCTATGCCCAGAAAAATCACGGAAAATCATTCATTGACCAGGGAAATCCATCCATTTTTCCAAAAGGCGACCTGAGCCCCCCAAGAAACGGGTCTGAACAAGAGAGCACGGGGAGAGGTGCCGCGGCTGCTGCTGCTCTGTAGCCCGGCGCTGGCGCTGCTGGGAACTTCCGGGGCCTTCCAGGCTCAAAAAAGGGAGGGTCCAAAAGGAAAGCATTTTTTGTTGTTGTAGGGGATTACTCTTATGAAGATGTTTATGTGTATTCGATGTGTATATGTGTATGTATATATATATATATTATATATATATTAACACAGTATACATGTTGCATTTTGGAAGAGATGTACTTGGCGGTGCACCAGGACTTAACAAGTTTATATAGACCAATCCACTTTTGGTTTGCGTGTTGGTAGGGGTCCGCGTCTTTGGAGCCAGGGACTCAGAAAGTTCATCTGACAGGCAAAGCGGCCCTGAATTTAGGGCCAAGTCACAAGGGTACCCGGTTGCCCAGTGGTGCCCTTTTTTCCCCTTTTTTTTTGGGGTAAGGGTTCTCCTTTAAACTCAAGCAACAAAAAAAGGGTGCCATTTTTTTCCCATGGCCACTGGGCATCTGAGGGTAGCAAAGAGAGGTGGACAGGTTTCGCGAGGTTTGAGGCGCTTTCCCACCCACGCTGGTCGTGTTTCAGGGCTTTGAGTTTGAGTGGTTGAGGGCGAGTTTCCCTTCCTTTCCGAACTCGGAAAGTCGGCACGGCTGTTGTTCCATCTCCCAGAGGGGTGAAATCCACAAAGGGGCTTGTAGCCCAAGCAAAGGCCACCCCCTTCTCAGGTCCCTTTAAGAAGTGCTCCGACCGACTGATTCTTCACGTGAGCTGCGAAAAGTCACTTGCCCCAATCTTGGGCTCGATAAAGAGCACAGCAACAAGTTAACCTAGTGGTGCCAGCAGGAAATGAGGGAATGCCCCTCAAAAATCCGTCCAACTGGTGGTTTCCTTTAAAGGGACCAAAGCCTGTGTTCATTCAACGACATCCCCTACCTATTGCACAAGGAAGTTCAGCTGTCAGGTCCTTCGGAGTGCTAGGTTCCACTCGGTTTCGGCTGGGCCGAATCGCTGGCTCCAGGCGCTTTGGACGCAGGGCGGCTGTGGCCAAGAGTTCAAGGAGGCCGAGCTGCAGCCGGGGCCCCAGAAACCCCCCAAAAGCGAGCGGGATCCGTCCGGAGAAAAATGGGGGAGCCGCGTTTTTGGCGTTTTGAATGGAAGGGATCGAAGATTTGATTGCGCTCGTTTTGAAGGGAGGGAACTCACTTTGACTACCTTGCCTCAAGTGGACCAAAGGACGTTTTTCTTCTTTGGTGTGTGTGTGTGTGCCGGGAAACAACATGTTTTACACAGCCCCCCCTTGTGGCTTGAGTGTTGCTCTGTCCAGAGCAGATTCGAGAAAGATTTCTCCTGATTGGTTTCGGCACTTTCAGCCTTCGGCTTGAGCAGCCCAGGGCACACCCACTTTTGGTTGTTGGTTAAAGGGAAACCCCAAAACTTTTAACGGGTAAAGGGAAACCCAAAGGAGCTCATGCAGCTTGGGTCCCAGGGCGTATGGCGTATGCCAAGGTGGTTCGCTTGTGCTGAGTTCTGAGTTCTGGCACCTGGGCCATGGGCTCAAGGCGTCACGGGGCTTGTTCCCCGGAGCTTTCAAACGGGAAAAAAGGGGTTCAAGGTGAAAAGGTGAAAAGATGGTGGCCTCACCTTTGTGGCTGATGCCAGGGAGCTTGCCTTTTGTATTTCCCCACCTGACAGGAAGGGGTTGTTGGATTTTATGTTGGAGGCCCTGTTTGCGATGCTTCTACACAACGCCCCCACCCGGTATCCCGCTAGAGCAGCTCGCCAGTGGATCCCACCGAGTATCCCGCCGAGTATCCCGCTCCCGCCGAGTATCCCGCTCCCGCCGAGTATCCCGCCAGAGCTGCTCGCGAGTGGATCCCGTCCCGCCAAGTATCCCGGCAGAGCTGCTCGCCAGTGGATCCCGCCGAGTATCCCGCCAGAGCGGCTCGCCAGTGGATCCCGCCGAGACTCCCGCCAGAGCGCTCGCCCGAGTATCCCGCCAGAGCGGCCCGCCATGCTCAGTGGATCCCGCCGAGTATCCCGCTGAGTGTCCCAGAGTAGCTCGCCAGTGGATCCCGCCGAGTATCCCGCCAGAGTAGCTCGCCAGTGGATCCCGCCGAGTACCCCACCAGAGCAGCCCGCTAGTGGATCCCGCCGAGTATCCCGCTGAGTATCCCAGAGTAGCTCGCCAGTGGATCCCCGCCGAGTATCCTGCTGAGTATCCTTTGCCGGTGAATCCTGCCGAAGATCCGGCCAGTATCAAGCCGGAGCGGCTCGCCAGTGGATCCCGCCAGTATCCCGCTAGTCTGGTTTTGCTTAATGTCCCGGCGCACAGTTGGGTTTGCATTTCATGTTGGTGCCTTCGTGTTTTGACCTGGGGCTCGGAAAGGGTGATGCTTTTGTGTTGCTTTGGGTTGTGAATAAGCAACTTTGTTTAATCCCCCGTTGGGTTTCTTTTTGGAAGGGGCTTGGCTTTTGTTAACGGAACTGATGTTTGAGTTCTCGAAATCGGTTCGCAGACAAGTGGAGTTTGACACACAGACAGGTGTATAAGGCTGTCAACGCAAAGCTTGTTGAGCAGTCATAGGCCCCAAGCCACTCGAAAACCATGCTTGAATTCACACAACCGTGTTCACGGTCGTAAGCTCGTGAGTGTGGAGGGTGGGGATTGCTCGAAGCGAGGTAGTTTTGTGGTTGTTTAGGAAGCAACCTGTAAACTCTTTTTATTGAACTCCTTTTTTGTATTTTTTAAACGAAGAAGCCCATACACACTTGTTTCTTGAACACCCAAAGGTTGTGGGGTGATAGCAGGCCACTTCCCGCTCCTTTTTGGTCCGCGGCCTTCCGATCGCTTCGCCGTCTTCCTCCAGGCTCTCGGCCATCGCCTGGGCGGGGATTTACACCTCCCTGGAGAAGCCGGAGGTCCGGTTTTCCGACCGGCGGCCGAGCGACTGCCGGCGACTTTTTGGGGCTCCTGGTTTACTGGTCTGGACCATTGTCTCTTTTTGAAGGGACGATTTTTTTGTGGGTAAGGCCGAAAAAGACCTTGGCACTCATCTTCGCGCCCAACGTCCACGGGACTTTGGACTTTTCGGGGGCGCTCCACTCCGTGCAACCGCCTCGATCAACGCAGGCCTCGGACCTGCGGGTGGTGATGCTGGAGCCGGTGCTGGAGCGGCTGCAGCAGCCCGAAGAGCTGCGGCTCATGGCCGTCACAGGACGCAGCCGAGGGACCGAAAAACGCGGCCCGTTTTGCGCGAAGCGGCTCCGGGGAGTCCCGTTGGAGGGATTTTTGGGGGTTGGTTGAATGAACCGGATCCAGGGATTCCCGAAAAAAAAGGGGAATAATATGGGTTGGATGGTGTTTTGTTTGGGAGTCATTCCAATTCTCATTTTGTGCCTATGGCACCAGCAAGTTTCGATTTTGCCTATGTGGGTTGGCTCTTTCTCGAGCCAAACAACAAACGTGAATGTTGACTTGAGGTGGGGCACGACCAAGGCTTGGCTCTTTCCCTAACAACATACATGTATTTGTTCCTTTTTGGACTAGGGGACAAACTGAATTGTAGGGGCAAAGGAGGTGGCTGTGTTCGGATCGGCCTTGAGTCCCGATTTCGGGTCGGAGAGCCCGTGCAAGCGGCCGAGTTCACCCAAATTGGACCTGAGACAAAATCTTCGACAGTCTCCCAATGCGGAAGGACAGACATTTTCCGAGTTGGCAAAGTTCCACAGCTAGGTTTCTTTGGGCAAAATCTTCGTGATTTTAGCCAAGCCAAGCAACAAGTTTCCTTGCAAGCAAGTCTGGCCCTTGCTCGTTCCAGTTCTACACTTCGTGGGTGATCCCCCAAGCACACCAATCTAGAAAACAGTTCGGATGTGCTGTTTGTGGATTTCCCCCGTTTCCCCCCCCCTTCTTTTTACTACTCATGTGCTCCTTTGAATCTCAGGGGTGGATGCACAGATCCGCCCTCCAAACTTTCTAGGCCGCACAACCCCAAGTCGCTTCTCAAAATTACATAATCATATTCATTGTCCTCATTCACTGTTATTGTTTATAATACCTTTGAATGTATATGTTGGTTTTATATTATATTCATCACATTGGTTTTGGCCGCGCAGGGCGCAGCCTGCGGCTGGAGGATGGGGAGGTGCTCTCCTGGACGGTGAGCGACCCCGGAGACTGGGAGACCAAGGCGGAGGCCCTGGCGAGGCCCGGGGCATGGGGCGCGCGCGCGACCCGCACGTGGCACGTGGGACGTGGGACCCGGGGGTGGCACTTCCTCCGGTTTTTTCTCGGGTGGATGAAGGGGTCGTGGGTTCGAGGTGTTCCAAAGCCCGGGTGGAAGGTGAAGTGAGACCACTTGCTCAAAACCTGGGTGGCGAGGGAGAATCCCAGCCATGGATCCCTTCGCCGCCTTTTTGGATTCCTTACATGGTTGGCAGTCCATTTTGATTCCAGGTGTTGATCCTGACTCAGGTGTTCCCTCTTAAGGTCATATGGGAGGCTTATTGTTTGGGAACTCTTTTTGGTTGGTTTGAAGGTTAGCCAACAGCGAACCAACACGGTTTTGGTATAACACCCACACCGTTTCTGAGTATTTTGGGTCGTCCAGTTTTGGGACGCAACCCCTTGGTGTGGAGTCCCCATCGCACTTTGTTGCAGGGTTCTGAGCTTCATGATGCTCAAGCACGAGAGTACTTGGCTTCCCTCGGATTCCCGTCCCTTGTTGGGTTTTTAATCAGCAGCCCAAATACTCGCTGTGTGAATTTCATTTGTTTCATCTTCCTTCTTGCGGACGGACTGGACCAGTGGAACATGGACATGTCCTCCTTCCCTCCTCCTTGCCCCCACCCCCCTGCTTGGCTGAGGAGGCTGTGGCACGGGGTCTCGGTGAAGCGAGCGTTTGGTGGGCTGAAGAAGACCTTGGCGCAACTCAAGGACGGATGATTTTTTTGGGAATCCGATTTTTCTAGAGTGAGAGGGGCCCCAGAAGAGGGTTTCTCAAAATGGTGGACCCCCTTTTGGACGGGCTTGAAAGGGAAAGCACAAGGAAACAAGCTAGAAAATGCGCACCCTATTTTGATTGTTGCCAGAAGCGCAGTTGTGCTTGTTCTTTGCCATAGGTCTGGACTGGACGGCTTACGACGAGTGTCGCTTTTGGATACCCCGGTGTTTCCAAGACCATACTAGGTCAGGTCTGTTTGACAACATGGTCTCCCCTGCGACCTGCTGTAAGGGTATCTTGCACAAGTGGCCATGGTTCAAAACTAATGGTACCGTTTTGGGATAGGTGCACCACCCATTTCAGGACCTATTTTAGTGGGGATTGAATCGGATGTTCACTGGGGGTACGATTGGGGTTTTGACCCATGGCCAAGTGTCTTGAAGGGTAGTATTGTGGCCATGTTGAACACATCATGAACCACCCCCCGGCGTTTTTTTTGAGGATCTTGCTCTTTTTTTTGGGGGGGGCGGTTCCGCAACCGGAAGCACTCGCCGTCGGAGCAGGACAAGTTTCTGGACGCCGCCGGGCAGAAGGCGCGGAGCCAAACCCGGGGGTTCATAGGCTGCAGGTAGGGCGCACGCACGAACTCTCTTTGTGTTCTCCACAAAACGATCCCAAGCGAGCTCAACTCTGTAAAACACCAGTTTGGTCGGCTTTTTTTGTTTTGTTTTTGTTTTTAAACTTGGCCTTTGAAGTGGCTGTTTGAAGGAGTGGCAAGTGCAGGTTTAAGGACCAAACCAGCTCGGACCAACCATTCGGAGGCTTCCAGGAGATGAACCCATTCGATTCAGTCAAAATCAGCTTCCCCCTCCCGCCTGCACATGCTGCATGCCCGAAATATTGTGAAGAGGCCAACACTCCTCAACTACACAACTATGGATCACTGGCAAATTAACATTGATTACGGGAAGTGCTGGTAAATCACTCTAATTCACGGTCAGTTGTGGTACAATATAGCAAATCACGGCAAGTCACGGCAAATGTTAGTAAGCCACGGCAAATCGCGGCAAGTTCCGGGGAGCGCACGGCGAATTGCAGGGGGTTAGTTTTTTTTTTCTTTTTTTTTTTTTTTTTGCGTTGTTTGTGGGGCGTTCCGGGGAACATTGCGGCGAACATGCAGGGGGCTTCCTCGATTTTTGTTTGCTTTTTGTCTTTTTTTTTTTTTGCGGGGGGCTTCCTCGATTTGTTGTTTGCTTTTTGCGTGGTTTTTTGCGGGGGGGGCTTCCTGGATTTTGCTGGCTTTTCTTCGTTCTTTTTGGTGGTCCCCTTTCGGCCGGCAGGACGCGGACGGTCTGTTGGCGGTGCTCGGCGAGCTGGAGCCGCACTTCGCGGAGTGGGAGGTCACGGAGCTGAAGAGCTCCGTGCCTTGAAGAGAATTTGGGGGGGGTGGGTGGGTGGGAAGGGGGGGTCGGGGGGAAGGGGGGTGGGGAACGGGGGTGGGGGGGAAGGGGGGTGGGGGGGGGGGGAAGGAGGATGGCCAGGGGCTCCTCCAGTTTCAAGCCTTTTTTAGGAAAGGTGGCAGCTTTGGTTGGGCCACGTGCTTCCTGAAGTGTTGGGATCCTTGTGGTTTCCTTTTCCACCTCTTCTAAAGGGGTATTTTTTTTGCTTAAACAGGTAAGGCCTGGTCTCCTTCAAAGGGAAAGCAGTATTTGTTCAAAGGGCATGCGGTTTTGGCAGTGGTCAAACCACCCTTGTGCATGGTTTGGTTTATTGATGGTCACTAACCGTCTAGGGATTATAGACCAATGTAAAGTTGAGTATGAAACGCACCATGACCGTGAATGACAGGTTGGAGCCGGGTTTGGGTCTTTCGATGGAATGGGAAGACGTATCCTTGTTCCAGCACCTTCTTTGTGGCGAGTCATCGAATTCTTAATTCAGGTGTTGGGCTTGAAGTGTGTGTGTGTGTGTCCCCTGTTTCTAAGGGGTTCCGCGGCTGTGTCTAGTTTTGGAGTCGGGTGCCACCATGCGGATTGCTGATTCAAAAGTACCTCGAGATTGGCGATGGCACCCCTGATGAGGACGCCTCTCACGAGCGAAATTGTTTCAGGATAAGCATGCCGAAACTCCAACCTGATTCCGTGCTTGCGTCCTCCTACGTTTCGGGGTGCACCTTCGCAGTTTGCCGTCTCATATCAAGTGTGTTTAGGCACTGCGTCCGGGCTTCGGTCAGTGTCTTGATCCCCTTTGCGGGCACCTGTTATGACCCATGTATCGACACCTTCTTCAGACAACCACCGGACCTTGTCGCTCGCGACTCTGGACTTTTTCCATAGACCCTTTGCCATAGGCTTGGACATGTCCCGGACGTTTCAGCACCCCAGATTATTTCATGGTTGATTTTCCCAGTTGACCTACTGCCAGACTACCTGACATATCAAGCATGAATCCATGACGCCGTCAGTTTGCTCTTGGCTCGCAATTGCAGGCAACAGATGCCACGGCCCAACGCAGGTCCGATGTCGAACTCAGCAGGCCCCATGACCAAGGCATCCAGGAACACTGCGGGTCCTACGCCACCCAGATCACCAGTGAGCCAGACAGCATCACCGAGCAGGAGTGTACTTGTGACACCGACCTCCAGCATCTCTGGCACGTTGTCTAGTACCTCAAGGGCTACCAAGCCTTCGGTTCCAGCCCTTGCTCCCGGTGACGCCTCGGCATCGATCCCTGCTTCCCCTACCTGGCCTGCATCCGTTGCTGGCCCACTGCCGCAAATCCTGGTGAAGGCGCGCCCAGCAACCCCGATGACTCCAATGACCCCAATGACACCGACTACCCCAACGGCTCCAGCTACAGCATGTCCATCTCAGACCACCGCACCGACCCCTATCGCACCGACCCCTACGGCAACTCCATCAGGTCAGATGCTACCACCGACCAACCCACCGGCAAGATCACGCCACGCAACGGAGGGAGAACGGTCACGTTCCCATAACGCATCCCCCTACTCCAAGTCAGTGCCTCCACAGCGTCGCAGTCGAGCTCGCTCCAGGACGCCACCACCGATCTCCCGAAGGGACGCAAAATCGGATAATTCAACCACGGCAGCACCGGCTCTCGCCGCTTCAGCGCCCACAGCAGCTAAATCCTCATCCTCATCCCGAGTGCCTACGGCAACTAAAGCTTCATCCCGGCGGCCGAGAAGCAACAGATCTCCACTTCCGCGCAGCGGAAGCAGTGCCCCATCGGCTCCAGCCTCCAAGGCCACCGGTGCTCATCCAGTCACGGAGTCATCCTCGAGAAGCATGCAGCTGCGTCCCAATCCGCAGGCGCACCCACCGCTGATCCTGCTTCCCAACCCGGAGTCCGACCCGTGGAGGAATGAACTTCAGGTGCTCGCCTCGCCGTACGTCCGCGACGGGATCCCGGTTAATCAGGAGCAGATGGACTATGTGGCCGCTACTCTAAATGCAGCAGGAATACCATCTCAGCACTCCACCCTGAACTATGCCAAGGTCAACCCGGAACATCACTACTCCAAGATCACTCCACACTGGTTCATGCTGACCATCCCCTACCTTGGCGCCACAGTTCGGCTCAAGGAACCAACGAAGACGCGGCCCATGCTGCTCTGGACCCACGCATCCAGTGTCGGCGGCACCAGAGGCATACTACGAAGCCGGCAGATACATCCTTCCCGGCAGCACTCCTCGGAGTGCCCAGCCTTTTACGCCCAAGGTTGGAAGATCACTGGACACGCCGACTATGATGCTGAAGAAATTGCCCGCACGATGAGCCAGAATTGGAGCATGTCTTTCAACATGGCCCAACTGCTGCTGTTTGGGCGCGCTGTCGGTACCTGTCAGCCGATTCGTTCAGGAGGAGAGCAAGCTTGCATTGAGGCCTTGGATTCCAGTGAACGTCCTGACGTCATCCACTATGTGTCGGGCAAGTGTTGGATGGTGATTCCAGAAGCAAGCCAGATCGTTGGACTCGCATGGCCTACCGACGCGAAACCGCCCACAGGTGTCCTCCGCTCGTGAACCTGCACCAAGAGCTGCTGCACCCGATGACAATTAATGATGTTTCATTGCAAATAAGAGCATTCTTCGCCACACTGCCGTCATCGACCGCCGACGATATTTTGCGACAAAAAGTGCACACTAGGGCCTTATGACTCAAACACGACTTTATTTTGTCGGTCTTCTTGAGGTTTTCATTTGCATTGTGCTGACCTGCTGTGATGATCGCTGTTTCTCGTTTACATTAAAGGCTCTGGCCTTGGTTGCAAACCTTTTGTCGTTTCGACAATTCGTGCCGTATGCCTAGCGTTTAATCAATCAATCAGCAAGTGTCGAAGATGAACCCCCATCCCGTGATGGCTTCTCAGTGGGCCTATTCGTGGCCGGCGACGTCGGCACCCTCCTCCTCGCAGCCGGGGTCCTGGTACCTTCCATCATGGTCAGTACCGCAGTCTCAGCAGGAAGCCTATTCGAGCTCCAATCGGATGGAATCCATGCAGCACCAACCTCGAGATGAAGCAGCACCCCGAGTCAATCCTCCTCGGCCTCCACATATGGCTCACCAATTCCCTCCTCAGCCTCCTGGTCAGTTCTACAACTATCATGGCGGTGGCACAACCCACATGCAGACAGGTCCTCGGCCCCCACCACCAGCACCACCAGTTCAGGCCCGTGCACCCCTAGGCCAAGGCGATGCAACGCAGTACACTCAGCCTCGATATTCGCAGCTACTCCCTGGCACCTTTCAATCTGATGACATCTTCCTCGACAAGACGGAAGTCCGCGGCCTGCAACTATACCGTCACATATTCAACCCACTCAGTGGTCCAGAAGAGTCGGGCTCGCAGGAACAGCAATCTTAGATCTCCCACTGACACGTCTTCTTCGAGGAGGAGCAGAAGATCACGCGCTCCGAGCACTGTCGAACGGGCGATACAGTACACCGGTAATGGCTCAGACAATAGCCGAGGCGGTGTTATTGACATCAATTCTCAAAGCCTTGCGAGGCAGGGAGGTCGACATCGACCGGACGGCCCGCTCCCTCCACGCGGACAATGCGCCGGACAAGCGCAACGAGGCTATGCAGTTTATGGAGCCGCTTGCGCTCAAAATCGTGGATCTCATAGAGTCGCTGCAGCCCGCCAAGCAGGAGAACCTCACTCGCCACAAAATTGCCGAATTGGAACAACAGCTTGAACGCTACAAGAACAAAGGCATCACTCTCACACCGGACACGAAGCAGCCATCCTCGTCTCCTTCCAATACCGCATCATGGACTCCCACACCTGGCCGCTCTGACCAGTCCCTCTACATCAACGCGGCGATGTCGGATGCTCAGGGACCTCCCCTACCAGTTCCATCTCCGGAGGCTGATCCAGCTCCCAAAAGACGGCCGGCAAAGCGCAAGACCCCGGAGGTTGCCCCGGACATCACACTAGATCCAGAACTTCTACGTCAGGGCAATCCCAAGGGCCAACAGGTACCACTTCCCGCCAGCCTCACGGACAAAGTCTTCAAAGCGTGGTTGCACGAACGCACGCTGTCCAACCAAGCGACTTACCTCGATCTCATCAAGCAGGAGCTAGCGTCGGACACGGTGGAGCAGCTGAAAACCATTGCAGTCAAGTGGGGCGCCACCATCTCCCTGGTGAGCAAAGGATCGAAGCGAGCACTCCTACAGTTCATCACGGTTTTGTACATGTATGGAAAGTGAGAGGCGAGATTGTAGCGCTCACGATGAAGGACGTGAGCACGCTGTGAAACGACTGGCACAAAAGGCCCTGCTGCTCGGTGCGCTTGAACCTTGCCCTGAGACCATCAGTTGGCGTTTCCCTTTCCCTTTTCGTTTTCCTGTTCCTTTTCCGTTTTAGGATCCTGGGTTTGTGAGCCGGTGTCGTTCAAAGTTGATCCACTTCACAGTTCAGTGCTCGAGCATGTGATGCATGGCTAAGCCACGCCGGTCATTCAATCTCCGGAGACGGTGTTTCTTTTGCAGCTCTACGGCAAGTATGAACGGTCAGAACTATGCGGTGCTGCCAGACACTATGGTATTCCTGAGCCCATGTGGCCAGTCAGCCTGCAGCACGGCACCGACTATTTCCTTCCCTACATCACGGCTCTTATTGCACTAAGACTCGGCGATTCACTCGACGTCCACGCATCCTATCAATATTATCAGGTCCTCTATCTGATCATCATCACAAGTCGCAGAATCCTCAACATGCCGATGGTCAATAAGCAACTATCTATGTGGGCCGAGTCCCTGTCCACGCTGCTCATGGTTCATCACTACGGTCGTCCCACGCATGCACTTACAGAACTCAGGCGCCGACTACGACGTTTACGCATCCACCCGAACATGTACACCTTTACCCACTTCTTGCAGCCCAATGCGG